ATTGTATTGATTCCTCATTAATCCATGAGCTTCAATCATATGTCGCTGTTTGTATTCGTAACTTGGGAACCGTTCCGGGCATTCGGAACAGCAATGCGTCATACATCTTTTGTCACTTCTTTTATGTATTAGCTTCGCCTTCATCGAGGGGAATATCACTTGACAGCGTTTACAATACGCCTTATATTCATTCGGAATTTGCGCATTCATGGAGCGTCGGTGGCTCAGTGGCTTGAGCACTTGACTTGTAATCTACAGGTCTTGGGTTCGAATCCCGCCGCCATGTACCAATGTGATTTTCGATTTTTTCGAATTTTCATATGTACATAATTTACCCGACGTTCTTACGGTGAAGGAAAACATCGTGATGCAACCTGCACATATTGGTGAAGAAATTCAAAGATATGTGTGAAGTCAACCAACCCGCACTTGGCCAGCGTGGTTGACTATGGCCTAGTCACCCTAACTTTAGGGTAGGCTCCGAGCCCCTCGGTGGGGACGTATAGTGAGCTTGGTGATATATTCATTCTCATGTTTCGATCTTACGTGAGTCAACAGTCCGGTAGACGCAATGTAACTCTTCCCGCATACTTCGCACACAAAACTGAGAAAGTGTGTTATAGTGTGTTTATTCAGATGTAGTAGGGAGGGGACATTTTTATCGCAAATAGCACAATTCCAGTTGTCCTTATCTAGGAGAAATGGCATCACACCGAGCGGTGATTCGATAGATATCTCTTTAGAGTGTGTCTCTTTCAAATGATGTCCTATCGTTTGTAAACATTTGTATTCTGTCTGGCATAACCTGCATTGCATATTCGTTATATCCGCTTTCACGTAATCAGATTTGGGCAATTTTGCGAACGCCATGTGTAGTGAGAAGGCCTTATGCTCGTTCGCCATGTGGGCCCTGAACTGATCAGGGTCCTGGTATAGGTCCCCGCAGTACACGCATGTTATAATCTTCACGCTCACGCGAAAGGGACTCGCCGTGGTATATTTTATGATAATCTCCGCATTCCTCCTCACGGGATCGCATTTCTCTAAAAAAGAAAACATCTTGTTGTAACGTCCGTAATGTTCTTCTATTGTAAATTCCTTTTTAGATCGTTCTTCCATTTAAAACATATGTTGCAAATATATTAGCGTTGTTAATCCGGTGTCGACGACTAGTTTAGCCCATCGGGGCCCTTCTTTAAGATGAAATTTAATCAAACTAGCTTATGTGGATATAGATTAAGGTAGAAGACGAACTAGATGGAGCGAACGTTTGCAACCAACGTGAATTATACGTAACTTTCCGAATCCTACAGAACGCGAAATCCACTCTATGTGTGTATAACTATCAATTACAATGCCTTTACGATACCTAAACTCCTAAGGATTTCATAAGTTTTTTTTTTAATTTAAACGAACAAACGCCCAGTAAAAGGTGCCAGAGGCCTTCGAATTACCTCTTACCCCCAGCTTCGTAAGTGTAATAGAAATGCCCCGGGGCCCTAATAGCGTTAAAACCAGTACTAGTGTTCAACAAACATCAAAATGTTTCGACAGTACAAGTCATTGAACATGTCCACTAACAAAAAAAGCTTTGAAAATTCATCTATTTTCAATATCGTTCGACAGATCGCTGCTGAAATGACAGCTTTTCGTACCGACTTTAATCACTCTCGTTGATAGTTAATTCTGTCTGTATTTAGACTTCGAGTCTTCGCTACCAACCGCTACCGTTAGTGTTAAAATGGCGAACATATATTAGGTACAAAACACCACGTCTTATCATCCAGTAGATTATGTCAGAAGTAGATATCAATTTCATATAATTCAATTAGACCATGTTGTTAAAATAGTAGAATTCCATAAAGATATTAATTCAAAACACAGTTTGAATTATAAAGTAATCATATTTCAACATATATAAAAATACATTTAAAATGATTCAAACAACTATTTTAAATGCAAATCACAAAACAAATACACATTATGTGTTTATTTCATGTAACATAAAAATACAAAAAAAAAATTTTGTGATTTACAAAAACGTCATGAGAATTTACTCAACTGGTTAATAAAAAAGCAATTTTAAATACAATCAGACTAATATTATAAATGCGAAAGTTTAGATGGATGGATGTTTGTTAGAGTTTATAGCCTAAAGTGCTGAACGAACTACAATAAAATTTGGTATAGTTGTAGAGGGTAGTCTGAAAGAACACATAGGCTACTCAGTTTTGTTTTTTTTTTAATTTCACGCGAACGGAGTCGCGGGCGAAAGCTAGTAATTTAATATTGGAATTAATACTAGTTAGTTTTTATTTACTAGTATTAGCTTTTGGACCTCATATCACTCAAATAGTTTAGGAAATAGACACGAATACATCAGCCTTTGCCCACTGTTGGACGTAGGACTTGCCCAATACCTATATACGTAAGAAAAAAAATACCACCGAGTAAAAATTAACAATTCTTATATATTTCGCAATACTGCTGTTTAATATATAGTTTTTAACGTAAGTTTTACTATGTTTCGCCAGCAACAACCTTCATTAATTAAAAACAAAATAACTAGCTTGTTTTTTCCAGACTATCCTCTATATTTATACCATATTTCAACGAAATCCGTTCATCAGTTTAGGCTACAAACTATAATAAACATCAATCCATCTAAACTTGCGCATTTATAATATTAGTAACAACTAAGATTCAATACAATAAGCCAGTATTCCATCATTAATTCGTAAAACTAAAACCAGTTCACTAAATTCAATGACGTCACAATCATATGGATATGCCTATTTCTATTAAAATTTAAAAAATTATTAAAAAAGCTATACTTACCTAACATCTTCATAGAAGCATCTTCTCAGCAACTGATAATTTGTCAACCGCCTAAAACTATAGGTGGAACTAGAGATACCAAAATTCACCTTAAATACGACCGCGGAGTTGTCAATCAACTATCTCTTTCTATCTTATGAATTTGTAATGTCTCATTCTCACCGCAAAAATAATATTCGCCAACATTCCGGAAGCCATTTTAGCCAGTTTTATATTTACAATTATTTTTCGTTTTTAGTAACAATACTAATAAAACATTTTAGCGTATTAAAGATTCACGTTATTTTAACATTTCAATAAAATTTCAAGTTAACACGACTAGTTTTTATATAAATCATTATAAATGATACGACATACTGTAGCTGCTTGTGTATATCTCGAAACAGTTTTACACCCCTGCACTTTGTTGTCACTTCCAATTGGACATACTGGCATTATAACACAGATACTAAAGTTCATTTTAATTCAAAACTAAATAACATCATTTTATGTTAAAATTAACATTTAAAAATAATAAATATAGCCTATGTTACTCAGTGATAATGTAGCTTTGTAATGGTCAAAAGAGTTTTCGTAATCAGTCCAGTAGTTTCCAGTTTATTCATTACATACATACAATCCTTTAAGCGCAGTTATCACAGGACACGATATTTTATGAACTAGCTTTTGCAAGGAATTAAAAAAAAACTTAAGTAGCTGTGTTCTTCCAGACTATACTCTACATCTGTACATCATACATAGTAACAAACATCCATCTCAACACATGTATTTATAACATTAGTAAGAAAGATTATCCAATATACACTTTGAGAAGAGCTGAAATACACAATCAAATAAAATAATCACACACAAAATAGTAAACAAACACACATTAAAATTGTTAAAAAGATGAAAATTATCAAATTTGATTTTTTACATAGCAATTTTTACAAAAAAAAAATTGTAGAAAAGTCATATCCATACGATTCTTTAGTCTACATTCTAATTAACATGCTATTGATTACAATTGACAGATATTTTATTGCAAATAAATATAAGAAAAATGTTAAGAATAAATTAAATAAATACTAAAAAAGACATTCTTAAATCTTTTTAATTTGATTTCTCGCGACTTCTAAAATAAAAGCCACTTCATTCATATTATAAAATTACAAATAACTCAAACATTTACAATAAAACATCTGCCAACAAATATTCAGATAAGAAAATTGGTCTGAATGCAACATAATTGAGAAATTACAAATCCCTTTGGTTTCCATTATACACTAGCTGTTCCCGTGCGGCTTCATCTGCATTAAATTAAAAAAAAACTTTATTTTATTGTTAATATCTGTCAAATTCTCAAAGTCAAAATTACCGTTACCAAAAAACCTTGCTTCCCTAATGTTGGCAGCTTGCAGTTTATGGTCCCTTTCCCACATGAAGGTTTTATCCCAATGCATTTACCCCCTAAGTTTACAGTGTGAAAAATGTAAAGCCTAAGCGTATCGTAAGTGTAGGGCTTTTAAAGAAAGGATTATACAAATATATGCTATGATTCCCGACATCTTATATAACAAAATAGTGTATGTTTATGAATTTATTATATTATGTACAGAAGTATAGATAGATAGTATGAATCTTATTTAACACTAGCTGTAGCTCACGACTTTGCCCACATGAAATAAAAAAATATAGCCCACATCTATACTAATATAATAAAGCATAAACACACATTCTTTGTTACCTAAGATGTCAGCAATTTTCGAATAACTCCTTTTTTAATAAAAAGCCCTACATTTACGTCACTTTTAGGCTTTATATTTTCACGCTGTTGAACTTAGGGGTAAATACTTTGGATAAAAACCCTAATGTGGGAAAGAGACCATAAGTTGTTGCCAACATCAAGGTTGCCATGGTTTGACATTTGCAATTGATAATTTGACAAATGTGAACAATAAAATGAGATTTTTATAATTTTATGCGGATAAAGTCGCACGGGAACAGCTAGTTCAGTGATAAAATAGCTTTTAAATGTTGAAAGAATTGTTGAAATCGGCCCAGTGTTTTAAGTTATTTCAATACATACAAGAAAACAAGACTTTCCCCTTTATAATATTAATATAAATGAGCATTCAAAACAATTTTCTTACTCTGATCGATAAAAAATAATCGATTCCTACCTTTTTTCTTCTTCTCAGGCTTATCCTTGCTTGTTTTGGTTTCTTTCTTCGGTTTAGCCTTCTTAACGGGTGTGGCTCTCACTTTGGTCGTTGATTTTCTTTTCTCAGCCACTTTGGCATTATCAAGCAAATCCAATAAGTCCACAGATTCTTTCTTTGGTGTCTTGGCCAGTTTTGTTAATGGTTGATCATCTACTGAAAGGAAAACAATTATTAGAAAAGATTATTGCCACAAAGAACTACAAATAGCTACACTAGCTGTTAGCGACTCCATTTTATTTTAGTCCCTTTTCACCCTTTTCTCAAGTGAAAAGGATGGGAAGGAAAAGTGGATTTGATGGTGGAGAAGACGCATAGGAAGGGGAAATGTCCTCTTTAAATACATCTCCTCCATCAATGAAGGGTAGGCAACGCATCTGCAATTGCGGATGTTTATGTGCAGCGGTCGGTTCACATTTCGATGGATTCAGATGGCCGCTTGCAAGTTTGTCACCTTATGATATAAAAAAAATCATGTGAAAAAAAATATTACTCAGAGATAACATTGCTTTATAATGGCAAAAGATTTATATTTTTGTATGTATTGGAATAACTCAAAAACTACTAAACCGATTTCAAAAAATTCTTTCACTATTAAAAAGCTACATTATCAATTATTTTTAATTTCAAGCAGGCGAAGTCGGGACCAACAGCTATATTAGTATATGTGTGTAGAAAATACCGAAAAAATTAGCTCTTATTATCCCTCAATCTGTGTCACAAGATTCTTATCATACTTTACTGTCTTGGTCATATCATATTTTCTGCAGCAAAGTTTATATATTATCTATATTATTATAATAAAGCGTAAACACACACTTCTTTGTTGCCTAAGATGTCAGCAATTACAGCATATTTTTGAACAATTCTTTTTTTAATTAAAAGCCGTACACTTACGTCATGCTTTAGGCTATATATTTTCACGCCATTAAACTTAGAGGGTAAACATTTTGGATAAAATCCTAATGTGGGAAAGAGACCATAAGTTGCTGCCAACATCAAGGAAGCAAGATGCAAGATTGTCAAGGTTTGTCATGTCATGTCATTTTGACATAACATGTAAACAATAAAATATAATTTTAATAATTCTATGCGGATGAAGTCGCATGGGAACAGCTAGTCTGACATAATTAGCAATAGCAGAACTCTAACAGGCCTAAAAAGTTAGTCTGACTATAAATCTTGAATATACTTACTGTCATCAATTCCATCATCATCATCATCACTGAAACGTGACTGTTGGAAATCATCATCATCACTCTCCAACCTTTCCAGCTTCACAACTTCAACTTTCACCTGCTTCCCTTTTAATATGGATTCATGTGACTCTGAAATAGAATGCGTTATTGAATTTCACATTACAATCTATACTATTATAATAAAGCGAAAACGAACACTTCTTTGTTGCCTAAGATCTCAGAAATTACAGCATTTTTTTGAATTAACCTTTTTTCAATAAAAAGCCCTACACTTACGTCAAGCTTTAGGCTATATATTTTCACGCCGTTAAACTTAGGGGTAAATATTTTGGATATAAACCCTAAAGTGGGAAGGAGACCTTAAGTTATTGCTAACATCAAGAAAGCAAGATTGCCAAGGTTGTCACTTCATGTCATGGTGACATTTGCAATTGATAATTTGACAAACATAAGCAATAAAATCAAGTTTTTATAGTTTTATGTGGATGAAGTCGCACCGGAACAGCTAGTATCTAAATATTTCTAAACACCTAATAAGCACCAACAGCCTAATGGTTTGGGGTACGGACTACCGATCTTGCGGTCGAGGGTTCGAATCCCGCCATTCGACTAGTCGTGAACCATATCCTAGCACAAGCAATTAGCTTAGTTGGAATGGTTAAAAGAGATATTAGTAAATTAACAAAAATCTACTAAGATTTTGTTCTAAACAAAAAGTGGTAAATAAGAGGAACAGTGGTAGATTTAACATCTTTGCATTAATGGGCTGGCTCATTTGTTACAATACCACAACCACACAAAAGGCAGAAATGAAGTGGAAGGAATTATATATACAGTCTGATGACTTTGCATCCCATAAGCCCGACTTTAGTCCCTTTCCCTTCCCAAAGGAAAAGATGAATAGGGGAAGTGGATTGATGTTGAGACACAAGACGGGGAAATATCACCTTTATGAGTGTCTCATCCTCCATTGTTTGGGTAGGAAATGCATCTGCAAATACAGACGTCTGGGGGCGGCAGTAGCTTCACATTTCTTGGAGAATTCATGTGTCTACTCACTCAGTTGCCATATTAAAAATAAAGGAAACAATATTATCTACTTACTGACAATTTCAAGTTAACTAAATTCAAGTTAAAGTATCTAATATATTTGAAAAATATTTGCTACTACACTCACCGTCTTGAGTAACACCCGATGTGCTGGGATCCAAGTGCTGTAGGAATGTCTTCTCACACTCTTCCACCTGCCGTTTGAACTCAACTGCATCACGGAGTCGAGATATACAGGGCTCGCAGATCAAACGACTATTACTGTTCGGCCCACCCGATTGGGAGTAGGCAATCTGTAACAAATTAGCTTTAAATATGACAGGTATAAGAGTTCATCTGATCATATCAGCTCTTCTCCCTGTCAGTAGAATATGTAGCTACTTTATCTCTTTTCTTAAGCATATCCCCTTTTACACAATCCATCCATACTTTATTTGGTCTTCTACCTTTATCCATCTATATCTTTGACCCACACAGTGCATTCCATTGTTTAGTTTCCAGTTAGAATCCAGTGCTGGATTAGATCACTAGAAAGTAATAATGTAAACTAGGCTTTATGAACAGATACTGACTTAAAATTTCCACTATGCAAGTTGAGAACTAATTATTTATTTTTATTTGACAGAATGAGTCTAGATAGGTCATTAAATAGTAAAAGGTTTGTATTATCTGAACCGCTAGAAAATCCTTTCACAAAACCCATCCATACTATCTTTAGTCTTCTACTTTTGTAGCCATCAAAATTCAGTCATAATACTTTATTGTTCAAGTCATTATCTTTCCTCAAAAAGTAGAAAAAACAGTATACATCAAAAAGTACAAAAATATAAGCTACTTCATTAAAAGTTTATTTCACATTTCGAATCCTGAATTATTGATTTACAATACGGATACATTGAGAATGTCACAAGACTGCATAGTTTTACACGCAACAACGGGACTTCCGAATTTAGTCGAATAATACAAACAATCTCTAGAGAAAATGGATGCCAACTAAATATGCAGATAAATTTCTTATCACAAATGTACTTACAGTTAAGTTTAATGTATCGGCAAGCATTTCTGCGTATACTTCTCGTTTTCCCATCCAGAAATACTCAGTAGATATATCTTTGTAGCAACCTTCTGTAAGACAACATCGACATACGGTAGGGCCCGGTCGCCATTCCGATGTTTTTGCTTCCATTTTTATTAACTTAAATACTTATTATTACGGAAAATATTACTATCACATACTTTTACTACTATACTAACTTATATAAAATCAATTTCAACTACTTTTGGCCTGTCCATAATAAATTCTACAATTGGACGCCATCGACGAATAGTAGAACACCAGCCGCCATAAAAACCAAGTGAACTGACTGACCTTTAGAGATGGGCATTGATCAACCAACCCGTTAACGTTTCAACTGTTGAATATTTTACAGGTTAAAAATCTAACTGATCGTTTATTTTGAGATAATACATTTATTATAATAAAGTCAATTGAATGTTGTAACAGTGTTTCATCGATGAACCCTTTTTCTTTTTAAACACTGAAGTTGTTACATAATTTGTATGAAACCCAGCGATTTTCATAAAGCCTGAGTTCGATTCACATATGTTTTAAGTCAGTATCGATAAATTCACTTTAATCGATGTTTTTAAGAAAGGCACCTAACTAAGATGTTAAATATGACATAATGTAGTCTTCACTATTTATCATCTATCGCTAAAATAATATCATCTGATTAAGGTTTTTAAGTATAAAATCGAACAGTTTAAGAAACAATCTCGCGAAATCCATTTTTCTTTTAACGAAAAGTTTAGTAGTTTTCACTTGCCCATACCTACGATTTAAGACGTTTGTCATGCAGTACTGCCAGCAAGAAATATAGAATTCACTGACATCTATAAATGGATAGGATATACATTATTTTCTACTTAATTTTTCCTATTTTAGCGATGTTTGTTGTGGTACATTCATAAATAAAAATACAAGTATTTTAACAAATTACATTTACTTTGAGTATTTAATTTTTAATTTCAAAATCTTAGGTAAGTTTACATAAACTAAGAAGTACAGTTGGGGAATGTAGCGGTGTTCCAGCTTATGGTAAAGGCCATAGTCGATTAAGTTTTGACCAACAGGTCGCTGTTTTTAAATGTCTGTACGAAACCAGTTTGATACTCGGCTAATTACTTTTTATTATTAAGGCCGTCGTTTGCGCAACTCACTGCTTCCTAATTATCGTATTACATCTTCATCCGCAAGGAAATAAAAATTGTAAAAAAACACAGTCTATGTTACTCAGTGATAAACTAGCTATTAATTGGTGAAAGAATTATTGAAATAGTCCCAGTAGTTTTTGAGTTATTTCAATAACAAAAATACAAATATTTCCTCTTTATATTAATGTAGAATCGTAGTTAGTCTCGTTTTAATGAACACCGCACAATTACGCGATTGTACAATCTTTGAAAATTATCTATAAATTGGAATTTGGAGTAAAAAACATAGTGTTTATTAATATTTGTATGAAGATGTGCCAAAGCCTTCTTCCGTCATCTTTGTGTCGACCCAGAAGTGGAGTCGGGGGATGTTGACGTAGACGCCGGGGACAGCTGTCCCGCAGTCGACTCCAAATGCGACCAGACCGTATACCGCGAACCGCGATTCAGCATTGTTCTGGAATACAAGCATAAATTACTAGATGAATTTGAAAAATGTAGCCCATGTTACTCAATGATAACGTAGCTTTTTAATGTTTGAAATTGGTCCAGTAGTTTTTGAGTTATTTCAATACATACAAAAATACAAATTTTTCCTCTTTATAATATTTAGTATAGATAAATTAAACATAAACGATTTTATAAAAGCCAATTAATTCTTAGTCAAAAGGAAAGATATTCATCCATACTAATCTATACCTAAATAATATGGTAAAGAGAAAATTTTTGTATGTATTAAAATAACTCAAAAACTACTGGGCCAAAGATGTTAAAGCGGGCTCTACCACAGTTAGATCTATCAATAAAGCGTCAACTATGGTAAAATATGAACAAAAAAAGACATAGAAAACAATCTGTTAATACCTGAAAATATGTAAAAACCGTGACTTACCGAAGGTATCGGACAGACAAGGGAGGAGCCGCCGTCTCCCTTGCAGGTGTCGACGCCGGGGCGCCCGCCGGCGCACAGGTGAGAGGCGTGCAATGAGTACCGAGGGCCGAGTCGCGTGCGGCGCAGTGACGCCTGGCACGACGCTGGTTCCACATAACCTAGCTCCACCTTAACCAGTAAACTTTAGTTAATCATCTATCAAAACATAATTTATAACTAGTTGTTGCCCGAGATTATAAATGCGAAAGTTTAGATGGATGTATAGCATATGTATATATATATGTATATATATGTATATAATTGTATTGCACTGCTGACGGGATTGAGTCGTTCAACTTTGAATGCAGGTTACTTCTCGCATACCAAGCGCTAATCTTCGATAACCCTTAGGATCATCCATATGTCAGCAAGTGGAGACGCAGAAATTAACACATTTGAGTAAAAAAAATTAAACATGCCACTAAAAACATTAGTAGAGAAATAGCGAAGAAATCTAATGTCTGTTAGGAAGTGTGTAGTGTTAAGAAGAAAATTTGTAACCGCGCTACAGAAGTGGCGCAACACTAGATTATTGGCATATACGTCACATCTCTAACTGACAGCTGTCAATGTCATTAGGAGGGTTGATATTCGCGCGCGATCCTGTGTCCTGACGAGAAGTGTTGCTCTGTGTTAAACGAACGATAGTATCCATTTGTAGTGGTAACCTTTTTGAGTATAACAGCGTTCTTGTTGTTATCGAGGAAGTCTCTGCCCCAGCCCATGCTGTAGCAGGGGCCGGCGGGCGGCGGCACGCGCGGCGCGAGGCACGCTACCCCAATGTGGGGTGCCTCTTCCAGTATAAACGGACTCTTTAATACTAATAAAGCAAGGTCGTTCACCGCCGGAGCTACGAATACAAACATTAATTAGCAAAATAATAAACAAAGGCAACTATCAAATACACTAGAGAGCATTGATCCTGGTCACTTAAAAAAAAAACTGAAATTTCGATCAATCGTCGGCACAATGCTGCTACATACATCTCTATCTGTCATATCTAAATTCACTCCCTTCTTAAGCATATCTTTTTTTTATATATCATAAGGTGGCAAATGAGCAAGCGGTCATCTTAATCCGCCGAAATGGAGAAGCTATTGCTGCTCATAAACATCCGCAATAGCGGATGCGATGCCTACCCATAAACGACGAAGGAGAACGCGCACATAAACAGGAAATTTCCCCTTCCTATGCGTCTCCTCCGCCGTCAAATCCACGTTCCCTTCCTATCCTTTTCTTATAAGAAAAAGGGTGGAAAGGAAAAGCGAAAGGGGGGTTGGGCCTCCGGCACCACACTCATCAGACGAAACGTGGAATTGCTGCCACTTCACGCCTGTCGTCTGTGTGGTCGTGGTGTTCTTTCTTCCCACCGGGCGAGCCCTGCAGTGCGAAGATGTTAAAGCGGGCTCTACCACTGTGGAAATCTTTCACACAATCCATACTTTCTCCGGTCTTCCTCTACCATTGCAGTCAATATAAATATAAAACTAACAATACTTAGGGCCTGTCCCACCAAATTGTAAATTGTCTGATAATAATTCAACGTGTAAAATATGTGACGGAAATATCGGATTTTGTTCCCTTATAACAATGACTTCATTTTAAGCTATCTGATTCTCTGAGCCAGTGGTGGGACAGGCCCTTAGTTTCTTATAAATGACCCAGATTTAATGCTCTTAAGTATACGTCTACGAGAATTAAACATAACAGAATTTCTACTGTAAATAAAACTTACTTTTGTAGTATTCTTCGTGGTAAATTATCTTCTTAACGTCCCTATCCTGTGTCGGATATAACTCGATGACTGCCCGCGTGTCCCACTCGCCCGCGCGACATTTAATCTAAACAAAATTAAGATCTTACTTATATCATATAAATATTACGAATGCGAAAGCATAGATGGATGGATGGATGTTTGTTAGAGTTTGTAGCCTCAACGGCTGAACGGATTTCGATGAAATTTGGTATGGATGTAGAGATAGTTCGCGTGCGACTTCATTCGCATGAAATTAGGAAAATTTTATTTCATTGTTTGCATTTGTCAAATTATCAATTACAAATGTCAAAATGACATGACATGACAAACCTTGGCAATCTTGCTTCCTTGATGTTGGCAGCAACTTATGGTCTCTTTCCCACATTAGGGTTTTTATCCAATTTTCTAACCAACTAAGTTTAATGGCGTGAAAATATATAGCCTAAAGCGTGATGTAAATGTAGGGCTTTTTATTTAAAAAAAAGAATTATTCAAAAATATGCTGTAATTGCTAACAACTTAGGCAACAAAGTGTGTGTTTACGCTTTATTATTATAGTATAGATTTAGTATATAATATACACGATTTGTATAAAAATACAATACAACATATACAAAAAAAAGCAGCACTAATTACTAAATAACAAGAATTATTATTGACCGCCTCACCTCGCTGGGAAGATGCTTATCCACTTTGTGGGCAGCAGTTATCACTACGGACGGATGGATGATGGCTCCTCCTCCGTAGTATTCAGATTGCTTCCATTCTGCGCTGTCCGACGCTCTATTGATAGCAAAAAAAATTGAAATGGAAAAGAAGGTTTTAATTCCAGGAAATTATATTTATATGCATTCAAGAGAAATACGACATTCCCAAACTCATAATCTATATTCTATACAAATATTATAAAGTATTGTAGTTTTGTATTTTTGTTTGAAATAACTCAAAAACTACTGGGTCGATTTTAAAAATTCTTTCACCATTAAAAAGCTACGATATCGCTAATTAACAAAGGCTATATTTTTAATTGCCACATGGATAAAGTCGCGTGCAACAGCTATAGTATCGTAAAAAGGCGAGACTTGTATTTACATATTGAAATAACTCAAAAACTACTGGGCCAATTTTAATAATTCTTTTAACAGTAGAAAATGTAATTTATCTGTGAGTAATATAAGCTATATATATTTTTAATTAAACAGATAAAGTTGATAGCAACAGCTAGTAAATAATAAAGTTAAATTTACTTCAACAACGCGACCATCCAGGGGTACTCTCCGTAATCAGCGTATGTCCTTCTGTTGATATTGTCCGCGTCCTTGTCTCGGAAGACGCCAGCTCCAGGGTTGCTCCAGCCGCAGCCGTTGTTCAGTGGAGGTATCGGAGGGACCTTCACAGACGCTGATCTCAGGCAGCATGTTTGTAAATAGCTCGGGCAAGATCCAATCCTGTTGTAATGAAATATACACAAACGCTTAAAACTTACATTTCTTTAAACAAAATAGACGAAGTTGGAAGCGTTTTTAAAGGGACTCAACATGACAAAATTCTGTAAGAGAAAAGGGAGGCTATATTATCACTTTGAATAAACTATCGCACAACTGTCGTGCGATAGTCGATTGTTTTGCAATTCTCCCGTTTAGTTGCGTAATCTTACTAATCTTATCTTACTAATATTATAAATGCGAAAGTTTGGATGGATGGATGGATGTTTGTTAGCGTTTGTAGCCTAAACGGCTGAACGGATCTCCATGAAATTTGGCACAGGTTTAGAGCATAGTCTGGAAGAACACATAGGCTACTTTTTATCCCTGGAATAGTTACGGTTCCCGTGGGATTCATTAATTAAGTTTTTTAAAGTTTACTCGATCTCGATCTCGATCATTCTGCAACGGTTCAACATATCTTACGTAGATTTTATAGAATTATAGAAATTACAAAAAGCTACGTACGGGACACGTAGCTTTTTGTAATTTATATAGTTTGTATGTTTTTTAATACCACGTGGACGAAGTCGCGAGCAGCAACTCGTTAAATATAAGCTCATAGGAAAAGCGAGACTAAACAATTGTGCGATTTTAGCCAAAGCCGCGCTTTAAGAGGTAATTAACATAGTACAAGATTTATTTTGTCTTCATCCGTCATATAAATAACGTCATCTATTCGTAATTTCTAGAATAATTACCTTGTACAACAAGTCACTTACTGTCACCTTATTGGTGACAGTATCACCAATAAGGTGACAGTAAGTGACGCAAACGGGATGAAAATAAAAAAAATCAACCATCCTTTTGTCTATACTAATATTATAAAGAGGAAAATTTTGTTTCTTTGATTGTAATGAATAGACACAAAAACTACTGGGTCGATTTAAATATCGGTAATTTATCTGTGAGTAATAGGCTATATTTACAATGTTTTTTTTTAATTCCATTCGAATGGAGTCGCGAAATTAGTCGCACATAAATTAAAAAGTTACGTTTATTTACTGTCGTTTTAATACAAAACATACAAAAGTTTTCAAGATGGTACACTGCTAGATTCCCCGATTGTACAGACTTTACTAACCTCAAATCGATAAGTGTGGTATTATCTATGACTCCGTCAACGCACTGCTGCAATAAAACGCAGATACCGGATTCCCCCTTATCCGTAGTACATACAGCAGACTCTGAAAAACAACGTATCTTCTTCTTCTTCTACTCCAAAGAGATTGAAAAAATATATAAACTAGACATAGGGAACATTTTTTCACCGGTAACTTCTTTCAAAGGTACTATGTTAGTTGTAATTAGTGACACCTCGTGTCGTTTTATTGACATTTTATAAAACATTTTACTTTTATAGGCTCCATCTTTTGTTATAAAAAAATCCAGACGAATTGAGTACCTTCTTCTTTTGGGGAATCGGTAAAATATACGGAACAGTGTCACAAAATAAAATATAGAGACTATCAATAGATGGCGTTAGTGGATCATGTGAAAAATGTCTCAAGTGAATTTTTGTATGTACTGAAGTAACAAAAACTACTGGACCGATTTAAAAAATTCTTTCACTATTAAAAAGGTAATTTATCTGTGAGCAACATAGGCTATATTTTTTAATTTCACAAGACAAAGTCGCCAGTAACAGCTAGTGATAAAAAAACTGGAACTTTAGCCAACATATGTCGGTTTACGTGGAATTATAATAATAATTAGTCTGAAATTAGATATAGTGTCATGAGATGAGTTATAGTATGTCCCTAATTTCAGCGTGCCTCTTAGCACAGGCCTCCTTCAATCTCTTCCACTGTTTTCTAACACGTAACTCTTCTCCATTTCATTCGATCGATTCTGAACAAGATGTCGGTCAGTTTTGTTTTTGCTCGTAAATCTGTGTTTCTTATTTTTTCGTTTCGCATTTGTCATAATTCTTTCGTGGAATCGCTTACCATTAAAGTCCGGTTCTAGATTTGGGTCGTTAAACTTGTTCTCTGGAGCGATAGTAGTAGTGGTGGTGGCGCTAGGGGACGTAGAAGACAGCAACGGGCCGTAGATTTGGTTCAACCACTCCTTATCTTTGTCAGTCAACCCTTGAATGAATAATAAGTCGATATAAGACGTTTAAGACATATATAGAGTAGACAGGAGTAAAAGGTTAGCGTGGTAGACCTAGAGAGAGAGATATTAGACCGCTTGTACACCCACGAACATCCATAAGCAGAGTTTTGTTGTGCACAATAGTTGATTTGGCTGCAAAACAATCGACAATCGCACAACAGTTTTGCAACATTTTAGTCAAAGGTGTGCGCCCACTCTAAATTAATTCTACATAATTATTTATTGCTGTTCAAATACATTGAAAATAAAACACGAAAAAAAAGGTTAATATTTAGTAAATTTCCACAAACTTAAACTAATTTACATCTAACTAATATTATAAATGCGAAAGTTTAGATGGATGTTTGTTAGAGTTTGTAGTCTAAACGGCTGAACGTATCTGGATGAAATTTGGCATTATTGTAGAGCAGAGTATGGAAGAACAAATAGGCTTGCTTTTGTTTTTTTTTTAATACCACGCGGACGTAGTCGCGGGTGAAAGCTAATATTATTATAAACAGAATAATTTCAATCTAAAATTAACACAAACAGGTAAAATGTATAAAAGCAAAGCTGTAGTTTGCTTATTAGCAAATTGTTCAGCTACCTACCGTACTAGTGTGAAACTGTACTAGTGTGAAACTGTACTAGTGTGAAACTGTACTAGTGTGAAACTGTACTAGTGTGAAACTGTACTAGTGTGAAACTGTACTAGTGTGAAACGGCATTGGATTGGTTTGTAAATTAGTAGATTGCGTTTAGAAATCCAGTGGAAAGCAAATAAACACATACCAGTTGAATCCTGCGCCAGTACCACGCTCATCAGAAGCAGCGCTTCCAGCAACCAGCAACACCGTCTGTATAGTTCAATAAGGGTATGTTTAAATTTTAAAATTGTATAGACATTTTCTTATAGTTTGTCTAAATAAGATGGAGAATGGGTTGTGTAAAATCAGTCATGAATCGAATTGATTTTCGATTTTTATTCTTATAGAAGTTGGAATCGATAGATTCATAGTTATAACTTATGAATAAATAAAAACACTGTTTTCACTAATTAATAATGATCTGCAAAACAATTACAAGTAATGAGAGTAAATAAATGTTTATTACTACTACAGCCGTAGGTAGTCGAATTGGATCTCGCTATTATTATTGTCATCGCTAAATTCTCTACATTATAATCAATATGGCCTAGTCGCCCTAATTTAGGGTAGGCTCCGAGTCCCTCCGGGGGGACGTGTGGTGAGCTTGTAATGGTAATCAATACTAAAATCGTCCTCTAAATTAGTATTAAGAAAATAATAATTTTAGTTGAGTTGAGTTAAACTTAGGGGATAAATATTTTGGATAAAAACCCTAATGTGGGAAAGAGACCATAAGTTGCTGCCAACATCAAGAAAGCAAGTTTGTCATCATGTCATGTAATTTTGACATTTGCAATTGCTAATTTGACACATGTAAACAATAGAATAAAATTTTCATAATTTTGTGCGGAAAAAGTCGCACGGGTACAGTTATTTTAAATAAATTGTCAAACTAAACTATAATGTATAAATTACTAGCTGCTCCTGTGCGGCTTCATCTGCATGAAATTATGAAATTTTATTTTATTATTTGCCAAATTATTAATAGCAAATGTCAAAATGACATGACATGACATGACATGACATGACAAACCTTAGCAATCTTTCTTTCTTGATGTTGGCAGCAATTATGGTCTCTTTCCCGCGTTAGGGTTTTTATCCAAAATAGGTACCCCCTAAGTTTAATGTCGTGAAAATATTTAGCCTAAAGCGTGACGTAAGGGCTTCTTATTAAAAAAAGCATTATTCAAAAAATATACTGTAATTGCTGACGTCTTAGGCAACAAAGAAGTGTGTGTTTACGCTTTATTATAATAGTATAGATATTCGCTATATAATTGTATTGTTATAAATAAGGGAAATTTACTAAAGAATTGATTTGTCATTTCTACGTATTTTCCTGTTATTGTATTTGTGCAAATTAATTGGCTTTTATCTCGTACAAAACATGCTTCATAATTTTAACCTCAAAAATTTAGAGTTTACCGTAATAATTGGAGTGTTTCATCATCATCTCCCCTGCCTTATCCTACTCCCGTAGGGTCGGCGCACCGGGTTTTCTTCCTCCAAAGCACTCTATCATACGTCATCTCAGTCATCACTCCCTTCTTGATCGTGTCACCTTTCATGCAATCCATCCATCTCTTTCTAGGTCTACCTCTACCGGTGTACCTTCACACTCATAACTAACGTCCTTCTTGTTACATGCGATTCTTCCCTTCTCATAACATGCCCATACCACTCTAACCTTTTACTCCTTATTTTCTCAACCACTGGGGCTACTCTAAAACTTCCTCTAATATACTCATTTCGTATCTTACCCTTGGAGTGTTTCAAATACATTTAATTTACAATATCCGAGTTTGTAACTCGTATATCAGTAACGCTAGGTCAGAGGTCAAATTTATTATCTTTTGGAGTTAAAAGATATCTAAACGAGCCTCGCCCGCAAACTTCGTTAGCGCGGATTAATCACAATCCCGCGTGCATCTACCTTCTACCAGCTATCTTTCAGTCAAAGTCCCATCAAAATCGGACCACCATTTTTTTTGTGACTGAATGGCCACTGTTTGACATTTACAGATTCACCGGGCTTGAGGTGGCCGAGCGCAGATGGCGCTTAGCCTAAACCTCGTTTATGAGTAACTAAGCTCAAGGGCTCCCTCAGGAGCCTAGGCGCGAGCAGTTACTTTGTTATAATTACTGGATTGGGTTATCAGCAACGCAAATACATCTTACCAAAATCTGGAATTTCTCTTTTGATATTACAAACAGACACTACCATTTTATTACAAGTATAAATGTATGGATGTATATTTGTTACTGCGTATTTCAAAAACGGAATTACAATCTATACTCTATACTATTACAATAAAGTGTAAACACACACTTCTTTGTTGCCTAAGATGTCAGCAATTACAATATTTTTTTGAATATTTTTTTTTAATAAAAAGCCCTACACTTGCGTCTCGCTTTAGGCTATACATTTTAACGCCATTAAACTTAGGGGTTAAATATCTTGGATAAAAATCCTAATGTGGGAAAGACACCATAAGTTGCTGCCAACATCAAGGAAGCAAGGTTGTCATCATTTCATGTCATTTTGACATTTGTAATTGATAGTTTGACAAATGTAAAAAATAAAATAAAATTTTCATAATTCCATGCGGATGAAGTCGCACGGGAACAGCTATCTCATATAAATACCGTTGATATTTCGCATACTTTTTTGAAAACTTTCATGCAGCTTCACATCTTTTGAAGAGAATGTGATTTGAATTTTTCCATATTACAAATGATTCTGACAGACTTGTTGGAAAAAATCGTTTTTTCCTCACTAGTGGCTGACTAAAGGAAACTCTCACCAATATAAATAAGAGTATGTTAGTGTCTATACAATCTTACTAATCTTACTAATCTTACTAATTTCACTAGTTAATATTATAAATGCGAAAGTTTATTATGTCATTTAAGAACAAACTAAAGTCCTGACTAATTTGGAAAGCTCTGTATTGTGGAGGATTTTTTTTCTACCATAATGATTGTCTTATCTTCCATTCAGAATATCGGTGAACAATTTTAACATTTCGACCTGTAAAAAAATAACTTTTACTAATAAAATATTTGTATTTGCACTACAAAAATACAAATCTTTCCTCTTTATAATCTATCTATACTATTATAATAACGCGTAAACACAAACTTCTTTGTTGCCTAAGATGTCAGCAATTACACCATATTTTTTTATAATTCTTTTTTTAATGAAAAGCCCTAAACTTACCTCACGCTTTAGGCTGTATATTTTCATGCCATTAAACTTAGGGGGTACATATTTTAGATGAAAACCCTAATGTGGGAAAGAGACCATAAGTTGCGGCCAACATCAAGGAAGCAACATTTCCAAGGTTTGTCATGTCATTTTGACATTTGCTATTGATAGTTTGACACATGTAAGCGATGAAATAAAGTTTTCATAATTTCATGCGGATGAAGCCGCACGGGAACAGCTAGTATTACTATAAAGTAGCTATTGACCCGCGACTGTGTCGGCGTGGAATTTAAATAAATGTATCCTATGTGTTCTTCCAGACTATCCTCTACATCTATGCCAAATTTCGTCGAGATCCGTTCATCAGATTAAGCTACAAACTAACAAACATCCATGTAAACTTTCGCGTTTAAAATATTAATAATTAGTACAAAATATGATTAATATGATCAAAGCATTACAAGGTCAAAAGTTTCGTCGAACATAAATGTTGAGTATTTTATGAATTCACTAACTGTTGCTCGCGACTTCACCCGCGTCAAATTTAAAAACATTAAAAAATATAACTCATGTTACTCACTGATAACGTAGCTTGTTATTAGTGTAAAAATTTTAGAAATAGGCCCAGTAGTTTTTGAGTTATTTCAATATATACAAAAATACAAATCTTTCCTCTTTATAATATTAGTATAGACATACTCGTAAATACAACATTCTATAATGAAGATGTAAAAAGAAGTTTTTCGTTTTTAAAATCAACAGAAGACAAAAGAACATATTTAAGATAACAGATATATAAAAACAACACAAAAGTTGAACATCATTGAGGAAAAATGTATTTTTTTAAATATAACCTTTTAAAAGCTATACTTTATTACAAAAAAACTATTAATATATATAAAATTATATAATTTACCTCATAATTTAGTTTCTTATTCGCCCTTTATACAATAAAATATGAATTTAAAACTTTATAAAAACAAAGCGTCTGTCGCGACGGGAGTGCAGATGGTAACTGGCTAATTAATAGAACGAGCACGGACTGAGAATCCGCGAATCAAGTTATTCTCACTAGGCATGTGACTCGACTAATATCGATAACCGACAAATCAGTTCACAGTGCGCATTTTTGAAGCAGATTAGTAAATCGATTCACAAATCAGCTTAATTTGTACCTATATAAAGGTACTAGCTATCGCCCGCGACTCCGTTTGCGTAAAATTAAAAAAAGTATCCAATGTGTGCTTCCAGACTATGCTCTACATCTGTGCTAAATTTCGTCATGATTCATTCCACCGTTTAGGCTAAAAACTCTAACACAGATCGATCCATCCGTCTAAACTTTTGCACTTTTATTAGTAAAGATTATTTGCTTGAGCTGCAAATCACCGGCTATTCGAGATTCGTCGGCACCAAGTTTTAGAATAGCGTTAAGCAGTTGTTAATTTAGTTGCTGAGCCCCAGCTCAACGGTATTTTGTGGTGATCTGTTATACTGGTTAAGAGCTGATTTCCACATGTCTAGTTAGCACAGACTAGAAATACCCACGTAAATAATAACGTTATCTTTTAAACATGTGATCGCCTATTGGTCGAAATTCGTAATTCATAAACAAAGATTATTGCTTAAAAAATAGGTTTATAAATGTAACGTTTATCAGTTCGTGCAATTTCTTTAAAAATAGTACTTACAAAGGTTTCATTTCACACATTTTTAGTGCAGTGAATATATATCAAAGACATTTAAAAATGTATAAAAGACACAGTAAACAAAATTTTTTCACCGGTACTTTTTCTGAAAGGTACTATATCAGTTGTCAAGTTTTGTGCCACCTCGAGTCCTTGTATTGATTATAAGCTAAATAGTGTTACTTACTTAATTGATAATATCGGCATATTGTTTTGAGGAGCTATGTGAAAAAAAAAAATCAAGTGAAGTGTTAACTATGCCTCTATACATTTCTTGAATCTCTTTTATGTAACTTAAAAAAGATAGACAGTGTTTTGTTAAACGCTTTTATACCATTTTAAACACCACTAATTAAAATGGACGTCGTCATCACCTCCGTGCCCTTATCCTTCTCCCGAAGGTTTTACTCCCGAGGTTTTTACTCTCCAGGTAAATATACGGTAGTAACTTCCTTTTTCATCTTCTCACCATTCACGCAATCTCTTTCTATTCTATATTCCTCCACACTTATAATTAAACTTTTGTTATATGTTTAATAGTCAACAAGTGTCTGTCCGTAGCTACACTGTCCTCTGAATGATTGCAAGACGAGGTCAAGCCGTTTAGATATATGCATAATTAAAGAAATCAAAATAATGTTATCATGACGTCACACATGTTAACATTTTATGGGTATGTGATGAGGAGGTATAAATCTCATGTAATAAGGACGTTGGTTATGAGAGTGGTACATCGGTAGAAACCTCAAAAGAAATGGATGAATTGCGATCAAGAAGGGAGTGGTGACAGATGACGGATGACAGAGTTATTTGGAGAACGAAAACTCGTTGCGCCAACCCTTCGGAAGTAGGATAAGGTATGGTAGATGTTGATGACTAGATTTCAGATGAATCATTTTGAGATCAAAATTTTAATAAAACACTCAAAGAGCCTAATTTTGTAAATGTCGTTGAACAGTCTGCGGATCTGGCGATATTCCATTTTTAAATCTATAATGGTTTGAACGTTTGTCTACGCAATAGAAGAACGCATACATAATGGTCTTAATATCGTTAGTAGAAGAAATAGAATTGGGAAAATTAAGTGTGAATTTCGCAAAAACAATGAAATATCTAGATTCTACGCTAAAATATAAGAAAAACATATAAATAAGGAGTTTTAACTAATAAAATAGTTAATGAGTCATAATTTCTTAAAGTTAATATTGTTATGTGAAAAAATATTCCTCCGTAACTTCTGATTCTCAAGGTTCCCCAGACAACAGAAGCTAGACATGGAATTGGGATGATTTTGCTCAATTTTTTGCTTATGGTTTTAATTGAACAGATCGATTCTTTAGTTAGAACTGAGCGTCTGTAGGAGGCTTTAGAATGATAAAAAAATGTTGTATTCCCTTGGGCCTTCCCCAAGTATTCCCGCTGAATGGCAATAGAGCAAGGCACCCGCGTTATCGCAACGACCCCTGACAAATGTATCATCGTTATAGAGATGATACTCAGCTTTTATTTATATTTTCTTTAATCTTTAAAAAGAATACGTGAAACAAAAACCTTATTCTTGGGAGTTTATACCTTAATTTTTACTAATATCGTAAATGCATAAACAATACCGATCTGTACGCAATTGTTTTTCGAAATTAAAATGGCGATATTCATAAGTACAGTTGTCGCTACCTAACTGATAAAAATGACACTTTAAATATATGATATTATTAGTTCAAAAAATTACCTCTGCCATAAGATCCTAGTAGGTCTACAATGACCTATTAACGTCAAAAAGTGTCACAAGATTACATATAAAGCATTAAGAGACTTTATAATAAGCAACGTAAATAGTTAAATTTACAGGTTACGTTTTATCGCTTTAGTTATATGGATAATCTATGTAAATAATATAATCGATATGCATAAATATCGAGTTAACGAGAACATCACTAGTCGTTCGCAGGGGTACAGGAAAACGAACATCGCGTCTTAAGACGCGCGCGTGGTGACAATGTGGTAAGTTCAGTGTTAAATTAAATTTAAATTTAATTTACGTACCAGTTTTTAAGGAAATCGAGTGAACAAATTAAATGAAATTTAAGTGCATAAAGGTATTTTTACCCAACTTATAAAAAGGGTAATGTTTTTCACGCGTGAGTTTATTTTTATGTAAATTCCATTGTGACAGCCTAAAATATAAACAGACAGTTCAGCCGTTTAGGCTACAAACTCTAACAAACATCCATCCATCTAAACTTTCACATTTATAAGATTAGTAAGATTTTATCGAGATCCGTTCAGCCGTTAAGGAGATATACAAACATCCATCCAAAACTTTCGCATTAGTAATATAAGTAGGAAATAAGATAGTCGAATTTCGACCAATGAGCGACCGTTAGTTAATAATAGAGACGATAAGGGTAACCTTAAAATTTTTAATAATAAAGTTGCGTAGTTTGTTACATGCTTAGTGAATAACATTACACGCCACAACTTGATAAATAATATTTATTTAAATAACGCTATAAATCTATATCTATACTATTATAATAAAGCGTAAACACACACTTCTTTGTTGCCTAAGAAGTCAGAATTGCAGCATATTTTTGAATTACTCTTTTTTGAATAAAAAACCCTACACTTACGTCACGCGTTAGGCTATATACTTCACCCTATTAAACACAGAGGGTAAATGTTTTGGCTAAAAACCCTAAAGTGGGAAAGAGATCATAAGTTGCTGCCAACATCAAGAACGCAAGATTGCTAAGGTTTCTCATGTCATGTCATTTTGACATTCGCAATTGATAACTTGTCAAATGTTAACAATAAAATAAAATTTTTATAATTTCATGCGGATGAAGTCGCACGGGAACAGCTAGTTTTATATATTTTAATATGTTTGTTTTCCAGAGATTCAAACATACAGACGAGACATAGTTGACACTTCACTTAAAACATTTTGCACGGAATCAACACTCAAAATAACACGGCAATTTAATTAATTGTATTTTAATTTATTGCCAATAGGTGTCATTAAATAATATTTAAATGTTTATATTCTATTTTGTAACATTGTTTAGTTTATTTCATAACAAAAGATGGAGCTTATAATTTTGCAAAATGTTTTATTACATGTCAATACACGAGGTGGTACTAAATTTGACAACCGATATAGTACCTTTCAGAGAAAGTACCGGTGAAAAAATTGCCTCGTCTATATTTATTCCAATCTATACTATACTAATATTATAAAGAAGATAGATTTGAAAAGATTTGTGTATGAATTAAATTCACGCAAAAACTACTGGTCCGATTTAAAAAAATTTTTCACCATTACATAGGTAATTTATCTGTGAGTAACATAGGATATATATTTTTTATTTTCACGCAGAAATCGCATTAATTAAATGGCTTTGGTTTTCCAGGACGCTTTGTTATTGCGTGGGTCTTATATTGGTGGGCGCGGCGGCGCGTACCTCCGTACACTACACACGTGACCCCCGGCTGACCTCTCAAAGTACGTAAAAAACAAGAGATGGACAAAGATTATTTTATTTCCTTGTAAAGATTATTATTGACTATAACATTAACATTATACGATGATTTCTAATAAGTACTGTAAGTAACTGATTGTCAAAATCAAGTGGCTGCTTTTTATACAAAGTTGGAAAAAAGTAAAGTAAAATGGAACAAAACCCAGAAGTTCCTAATCTTTAATATAGAAGTGGTAAACGCCGTCTAACAGTTTGGATAAAATGTAATTTTTTAGTTCTTAGCGCTTAGCGCGATCGATAGACGGAGGCAGAATTCCAAAGTTTTGTAACGCCATCTAGCTATTTTTATATAAAAGTAAACTTCTTAAGGCCGCATATCGCTATATACAATTTAAAACAATAGCAGCCTTACAAATAAACGCGGTACAAAGTTTAACTTAATAATATTGGTATATTTGCTTAGTTCAGCGCCATCTAGCGATTTGTAGATGAACGATGACTTTATAACGCATAGCGCCATCTTGTGGTAAATTTCAACTATTAATTGAAAATATAAACATGTGACTGGCATTTACTACTTCGTAGATTTATGCAAACCTATCAATAGTATTAGAGTCTAGTGAACGGATAAGATTGTCGTAAAAAGAAATATATTTTCAGGACCTCTGCAACCGGTAACCGATGGTATAAGTGATGATGTACCGATATTGAATTCTGGAATGAATATTCACGAAAGCAGAACAGGTAGGATCAACATATAGTCCGGCATAGTTATCTGACCCGGTGATCGTTAACTCGGTCAGCGCCCCCTATTGTTGTAAAAAGTCTCAACATTTCTCTGTAGTTGTCAAGTAAATTCTAATTCATTTTCAGATGAAGCTGATATCAAAGATACGATCCCCATGTTCAGTTCTGGTATGAATATTAAAAAACTTAACGACACTCAAGGTAAGTATTATATTACTAGCTGTTGCCCGCGACTTCGTCCGCGTAGTACTAGAAAACATACGAACTATATAAATAACTAAAAGCTACGTTTCCCTCGGGAACCGGACATTTCTCGGGGGTGAAATTTATCCAATGTGTACTCCAGACTTTGTTTTATATCTGTGACAAATTTCAATAAGATATGTTGAACCGTTACAGAATGATCGCATAAACATTAATAAACTAAATTAATGAATCCCACGGGAACCATAACTATTCCCGGGATAAAAAGTAGCCTAAGTGTTCTTCCAGACTATGCTCTAAACCTGTGCCAATTTTCATGGAGATCCGTTCAGCCGCAGGCTACAAACGCTAACAAACATCCATCCATCGTAACTTTCGCATTTATAATATTTATATGATATATGATATGAATTCCATTTTTTAATATATACTCATAAAGAAGAAAGATTTGTATTTTATGTGTATTGAAATAACTCAAAAACTAGGCCAAATTTTTCACCAATAAATAGCTACACCATAACTGAGTCATATAGGCTATGTTATAAATTTTATTTCCGCGCGGACGAAATCGCGAGCAACAGCTAGTTGTAATGCAACACCAATAGATTTTACACTAAATAACTCTGAGTACAACAGCTTCAATAATGGCCAGTTTCCCAGCTACTTTTAACCATTCGTTAGTGTTATGAGTTCGATAATTTCATGAAATGCGTTTCCGAACTATGTGACTTGAGTTTTACTCTTTTGAAACTTAGTTCAACCTAAAACTAATAAATCACTAGGTAATCTATATCTATACTATGTATACTTATTATATTAAAGCGTAAACACACACTTCTTTGTTGCCTAAGATGTCAGCAATTACACCATATTTTTGAATAATCCTTTTGTTAATAAAAAGCTCTAAACTTACGTTACGCTTTAGGCTATATATTTTCACACCAACTTAGGGGGTAAATATTTTGGATAAAAACCCTAATGTGGGAAAGAGACCATAAGTTGCTGCCAACATCAAGGAAGCAAGATTGCCAAGGTTTGTCATGTCATGTGATGTCATTTTGACATTTGCTATTGAGAATTTGACAAACGTAAACAAAAATATAAAATTTTCATAATTTCATGCGGATGAAGCCACACGGGAACAGCTAGTGATAAAACAAATGGAAACTCGAGCAACCCAGCATAGGTAGTTTTTGTACCATTGTTAATATTTCAGAAGGAAATGACCTCAGTGTTAACGATGAGAAAAAAACAAGTGAAGAAAATGATGAACAATGGTTTTCAACGAAACCGGCTGTACTGGTAGACACAGGTAAGAAGATGTGAAATCTCCTAAATACTGACTATACTAAGGGCGTGTCTTACCACTGGCTGGTAGAGGTTCAGATAGCTTAAAAATAACACCACTGTCAGATAAGGAAACAAAATCCGGTATTACCATCACATATTTTACACGTTGGATTGTGATCAGAGAATTTACAATTTGGTGGGACCAGCCCTTAGTATATTTTATAGTGGAAGAGACGCATGGGAAAGGGAAATATCCTCTTAATGTGTTTACTATTAAAGGTCAGGCCATTTACTCATTTGTCACCTTGTAATGTAAAAAACTACCAGTGGTAGAGCCCGCTTTAACATGTTAGCACTGCAGGGCACGCCCCCAGTAATACCACGACCACACAGAAGACAGGCGTCAAATGGAAGCAATTCCGTGTTTCGTCAGATGAGTGTGGTGCCGGAGGCTTAATTTAAGTCCCTTGCTCTTTACCACCCTTTTCTTATAAGAAGAGGTTGGGAAGGGGAAGTGGATTAGATGGTGGAGGAGATGCATAGAAAGGGGAAAATTGCTCTTTATGTGCGTCTCCTCTTCCGTCGTATAAGGGTAGGCAACACATCTGCAATTGCGGCGGGTCGCTTCGCCATTTTGGCGGATTCTAGTGGCCGCTTGCTCGTTTTCCATCTTATGTTATATGAAAAAAACTGTTACCCCATTTTACTGGCATAATCCTCTTTAAAGCTAATTTTAATTAAAAAAAAATGTTAACGAATTTGAATTTCGACCAAAAGACAAACACTATTTTTTTATTGCTCCAGAAACAGCAAATAACGAAGTAGTCGAAGATGAAATCAACGTTCAGGTTAACGTGGATACGGCGGCTGAAGGTATTTATTTATTAGCTTTTTATTGACATGACAATTTTACATAAAATTTATTTATTTTACATATATAAATAAGTAGATGTCACGCCTCCTGTTGGGTACAGGCCTCCTCCGTTTCCTTTTCGTTATGTTTCTAGAATTCTGAAGGTATGGTCAGATTTAAATACGTGGCTCGGAAACATATCTTTGAATTTCTTCGCCGATATGTGCAGGCATCACGATGTTGTCCTTCACCGTAAGAACGTTGGGTAAATTATGTACATATGATAATTCTAAAAAATCGAAAATCACATTGGTACGGAGGAATTCGAACCCAAGACGTATAGATTACAAGTCAAGTGCTTAAACTGAGCCACCGACGCTCTAATTGCCAATAGATGTTAAATAATATTTTTATTATAATTTTGTTAAATATTAAATAAATAAATTGTTTTATTTTTCTAGTTTCAACTGAAATAAGAAGACCTCAAATTAAATACAGCAATGGCAAGATAGAACGAAATGGAAGTGAGTAAAATTAAATTAAATACAAAGGTCTTATCCATACTAATATTGTAAAGACGAAAGATTTGTATTTTTATATGTATTGAAATAACTCAAAAACTACTGGGCCGATTTTAAAAATTCTTTCACCGTTAGAAAGGTAATTTATCTGTGAGTAACATAGGCTCTATTTTTTTAGTTCATGCGGTCAAAGTCGTGTGCAGCAGCTAGTTAACAATACACTATTCAACAGAAACTTCTTTGTTATGTAGGCGTCAGTAATCGCAGCATATTTGAATAATCATTTTTTAATAAAAAGCCCTACACTTACGACACGCTATAGGCTATATATTAAACCTAGGGTGTGAGTACACTTGAAAAAATTGCTCTGCGAGAAAGGAACAAAAGCTCCAATCCAATAGCTTCTACTGTTACTTAATTTCTCAACCTTCTTTGTCATTTGGGCATTTGAATTTTGATATTTGTAATTGAAAACAATAAAATAAAGTTTTTACAAGCCACACGGAACCAGCCAGTATATGCTAACTAGCTTACGCTCGATACTCCGTCGGCGTGGTTTAAAAAAACAATAAAAATGAGTAGCCTCTATGTTATTCCAGACTATCCTCTACATCTATACGAAATTTCATTAAGATCTGTTCAGCAGTTTAGGTTACAAACTCTCAAACATCCATCCATATAAACTTTCGCATTTATAATATTAGTATGAAAAGTATAACGATAAATATTTTATTACATTTCAGAATTAATAATCAAAATAAACGTCAAAACTAATAAAGATGAACCAAAACCACTTGACGGCGTCAAAGGTTCGTTTGAAAAAGGTAAGATTTATCCGCTTCAATTGAAAATACTGTCTACATATGTTGTAGAATTTGGAATAATTACTTTGTTGTTAATGTCAAATAATTTATGCTGGGTTTCTCCTAATTTGCTCTATGACTATTTGCCGCCTCGTTTGATACTTAGAAACGGATTATTCCCAGCCGTCACCCCGCTCTGTCCCCATGTGAGAATAAAATGTTTCATCCGTCTCAACTTTTGCGATTAGGGGACCGTTCGAACTTATTATATTTCATAACGATTCCATCCGTCACCTTTGTTGATAGTAAGACTAAAAGGTGGGACGGATAAAACATTTTATTATTACGTGGGGACAGTGCGGTGTGACGGTTGGGAATAATCCTCAGAAAATCAACTGAAGTTACTACTAATGCATCACTGAAACAACCAGGCATTAGTTATATATCTTTAGTACATATAAAAATTAAAAACGAAATACAAATTCTAATGCAAAAATAAACACGAAACTGATGTCTGTAAATAACTCACCGTAAAATACTGATTTTGAATAAAACATTCAGTAGATAGATGACTTTTTAAAAAGTGTAGAAAAAAGTAACAGGAAACATTTTTTCCACAGATCAAAACGATTACGATCAGAAAACTTGTGATTGGTTGAACGAACTGAAATCCGAAGCAAATTCGAATAACCCGAGAGGGCAGCGACAATTCAACCGGCAACAAGGACCACAAGGACCACAGCGCTCTGTAGAACCGCAGGGAACTCTAGGACCGCAGCAAACTCTACCACAGCTATCTGTAGAACCGCAGGGAGCTCTGCGACTGCAACGAACTCTACCACAAAACGCTTTAGAACCGCAAGGAACTCTACGACCGCACCGCACTCTACCGGAGCATGCTCTAGGACCTCAAAGAGCTCTACGACCGCAGCGCATTCTCCCGCAGAATGCTCTAAAACCGCAGAGCTCTCAAGGACCACAGGAACCTCTAGATTTACATGGTTCTCTAAAACAGAATGGTCGCCGACCACAGGGACTAAGACCACAGAACCATCTTGAACCTCGCAATTCTAAATAAGTCCCCTTTCGAAATACAAAAACAGGGTTAATTGAAAAAAAGGGGAACAGCAGAGACGGTGTCTAAAATTTACTAAAATATTTTTATGAGAATTTTTAAGTGTTTGAAATGTACGGTTTAATATGTTTTTTTTTTATATAAAATAAGGTGGCAAGCGACCACCTGAATCCACCGAAATGTAAAGCGACCGCTGCACATAAACATCCGCAATTGCAGCGTTGCCTACCCTTCATTAACGGAGGAGACGCACATAAAGAGGACATTTCCCCTTCCTATGCGTCCCCTCCACGGTCAAATCCACTTTTCCTTCCCATCCTTTCCTCTTAAGAATAGGATGGAAAGGGAAAAGGACTAAAATTAGGCCTCCGGCACTACACTCATCAGACGAAACGCGTAATTGCTTCCACTTGACGCCTGTTTTCTGTGTGGTCGTGGTATTGTTGGGGAGGAGCCGACCCTGCATTGCGAAGATGTTAAAGCGGACTCTACCACTGTTAACTGTTTTTACGTTCAAAAAGAAACAATAACTATGTTATAAGTTTCAACTTTTAATTGAGAGTATAATAAAATTCGTTTAATCGATAAAATACGTATAGATAAGGCATTCTCGTTTTTAAACTTAACAGTTATGTTTGTAAGGAAAATATATGCGAAGGAAAAATAACAAATGTTTTCAATTAATTTGGTGTGTGCTGTTTTTATAATTTGTTTCATGAGTACGTAATGTTTTGTTATTTAAATATAAACCAAAGACATTCAAATATATAGACGAGGCAATTTTTTCACCGGTACTTTCTCTGAAAGGCACTATACTATATAAGTGGTCAAATTTAGTGCCGTCTCGTATCTGTATTGACATGTTATAAAGTATTTTACAAAATTGTAATAAGCACCTTTTGTTAGCGACTCAGTTCGTGTGGGATTAAAAAAATAACTAGTCTATGTATACTTATAGACTATGAAAGTATCACAAACAAGGAGATCCGTTCAGCAATTTAGGCTATAAACACTAACATCCATCCATCTAAACATTTGTAATATTAGTAAGAATAGCTGTTGATGTCCGAGTGGCATCAGAAAACATACGAACTATATAAATAACAAAAAGCTACTTATCCCCTGGGAAACGGACATTTATCGGGGACGAACCTTATCCCATGTGTACTCCAGACTTTTTTTTATATCTGTAACAAATTTCAATAAGATATGTTGAACCGTTGCAGAATGACCGAGTAAACATTAAAAAACTAAATTAATGAATACCTTGGGAACCGTAACCATTCCCGGGATAAAAAGTAGCCTATGTGTTCTTCCAAACTGTGCTCTAAACCTGTGCCAAATTTCATGGAGATGCTTTCAGCCGTTTAGGCTACAAACGCTAACAAACATCCATTCATCGTAACTTTCGCATTTATAATATTTATATATATATATATGGTTAACGAATAGTTCATTTTCAGCTGACATAATAGAATCGCAGACTAATATAGCCATACCTGATACAATGCCGGACACTGTTGAAGGCAGGAGACGTTATTTCATGATAGCCAAAAAAACTTATTTCACCTTCAAAACTAGAAAACCGCCTTTAAAAAGAATTATCAACTTCAAGCATTTCCATAAACTATTAGGAGATCGCTAATGTAAATTACATAATCGAATAAAAATTCACAACATCTTTTGTTTTATTACGCTAGACATCTTCAGTTTTATTCTATTTCTTGTTTATGGCTCTCCCACAGCGGATGGGGCCAGTGTCAAATGTCTGTGGCTTTATTCTAATTTGGGAGAAACTGGCAACAAATCAACTTTAGTTTTAACTGAACAGTTCTACTATTGATTTTTTTTTGTGACTGACTTGCCACTGTTTCCCTTGAAGAGGCATTTAGAGATTCACCGGGCTTGAGGTGGCCGAGCGCATGACGCTTAGCCTGAACCTCGTTTATGAGACTAAGCTCGAGGGCTCCCTCAGGAGCCTCGGCTCGAGTTACTTCGTTATTATCACCGGATTGAGAGGCCACCGAGCTCTTAGATCGGTTCGGTGGACTGTTGAGTTACACGCAACACTAACTGCTTTAAACTGTGCAGAACGCACGAAAATTTAAGAAAAAGTATACGTATTAGTTTTAGGTGTACTTTACCCATGATGACCACAATGTACCTGTTACAAATTTTGTTGATATAACGAATACTTTCTTGAAAATTTTCGTGCTAGACCCTCCAGTTAATATACTTAATTTACTTAATTTTGTTGTTAATTTTTAACATGCAATTGGTGTATCTTATAAATAAATAAATACTGAACTTGTGTAGCCCGCATTATCTTTTGTATCTTTTTCGTCTTGAAATTTCGTTTTTAATCATAAATTTCTAGTTTCGTAAAATTAATTAAAAGCCTGATTACTTTAGATAATAAAATGTTGGAAATAATTGAATGGGTAACCTCTACAGTTGTATATGTCTACTGTTTCTACTGAAAATAACATATAAAATAAATAACAAATGTTTCAAATTAATTTAGTGTACTCTATATTACTAATTTGTTTAATGAGTAAGTAACTCGATATCTATATCATATAAGTATTATTAAGAGGAAAAATATTTTTGAATGTAAGGAATAAACTTAAAAACTGTACCGATATAAAAAAATATTTTGCCAGTAGAAAGTTAGATTATCTCTAACATAACTGTGTTAATTTATTTTTTAATTCCGTGCGGACGAAATCGCGGGACAAAGCTAGTGGTAATTATTTTCAAGATATAATAAAGGACGCGTCCATAAATTACGTGAGGTGTTTTTTTAATTTTTCTGCACCTCCCTCCCCCCCTGGTGAGATGTAGTGAGCTTTTAATTAAACCCCCTCCCCCATCCCTCAATCTCACGTGAGATTTTTCAAAATGTACAATATGGATTAAATGGACCAAAACAGTATATTTTGTTTCAATCAGAAAAAAAATTGCGTGATATTTGCCGAGACCCCCTTCTCTCCAACGTAACACTAGATTGAGATTTGACTTGGACGCCCCCAAACTTATTTTAAGATTACATTTTTTAAGTTAGTATTTGTAACGACGACAGCGCCTCTTCCACCGGGCCAGATAATTTAGTTTGACTATATTTTTGCAGTGGTTTTAATAGAAGCACAGAGTAGAGTGGTATTGCCAGATTTACCGCAAGAATTGCCAGATAACGGAAGACGATCTTTTATTGTATCTAAGAAATCACTTTCTGCGTTCAGACCTCAAAAGTCATCAGTAAAAACAATTAGAAACTTCAAACATTTTCATACACTAATAAATGAATAAATTTAATTATGAAAAAAATTGTCTTTCGATTCCCAAACCTTTAATATGAATCATCACCAGCTCGTTTCCTAGGATCTACTAGCAGGACTATGGGATTGCCATGTCTTTCCCAAGACAAAAATCCCCCTTTACCTAAGATTAAAAAAAAAACTTCAAACATTTTCATACACTAATAAATGAATAAATATAATTATAAAAAATTGTCTTTTGTTTCCCAAACCTATAATAATGATCCTATAATAACCATCATCTCTGAAAGTTAGAAATCATGAAATAATTTCCTTGAATTATTTGTGCATGAAATAAAAAGTTCTTTCGTCGAGCATCGAATCTGTATTGAAATTTATTAACCGCTAGATGGCGTTGACTTTCAATTTACGCTAACATATCTACAATTCATCTACTAATCAAAAGATGGCGCTAATGTTAAAAGGAAATAAAAACAGAGAATTAACAAAATGGATGCTGAAAAGCTTGATTTCTTATATTTTTATTACAATAACTTTAATCATAAAATCAAAACAGTCTGATGGAGTTTTATCTATACTAATGTAATAAAGCGTAAACACACACTTCTTTGTGGCTTAAGATGTCAGCAATTACAACATATTTTTATAACAAAAAGCCCTACATTAACGTCACGCTTTAGGCTATATATTTTCACGCCATTAAAACCCTAACGTGGGAAAGAGACCATATGCTGCTGCCAACATCAAAGAAGCAAGATTACCATAGTAAGGTAACTATAAACTACATATAACCTAATCCAATAAAATGGCTTCGTTAAAATTTATCGCTACAATTACTTTTGTTAACAATCAATTAGGAAAAAAATAACAATAAATTTAAACAAACAATGAAAAATTACTTTGAAGTGTGACTTGATTTCGATCTCATAGGAGCATCGTTCTCCGCTCTGTTGAAATGTGGTATTATTTCTTTTTTCTGGTAAGTTATGCAGTTAAATAAATTTTAATTAAAAAAAACAACACACTGTATTTAAAAAAAGAACTGATTTCTATTAAATTGTTTTTAAAAGAAACATAATTTGTAATTCAAATATTTTTTTTGTTGTAAAATGTTTACAAAAATAAAAACCACCGCCATATTGCGGAATATGGAACTAATTCCTTTGCATGCATTAGAAAATTATCTAAGAAAGGTAAGAGAAACGTTCCCAGGACAAGATTTTTGGTTAGGCCGTAACCTAAATTATTTCGCACTAGGGTCTTTGTCATATATTTTGGAGGTCAATAACAAATCTTACTAATATTATAAATGCGAAAGTTTAGATGGATGGATGGATAGATGTTTGTTCGAGTTTGTAGCCTAAACGGATGGATGGAACTCGATGAAATTTGGCATAGACGTAGAGGATATCTTGAAGAACACAGAGGCTACTAGATTTTGTTTTTTAATTCCACGTGGACGGTATCGTGGGCGAAAACTAGTTAAATAAAGATCACGATTTAAAAAAGATTAAAACATCCATACTAATAACTTTTTAATAATTTATTTTTCCGTATTAATAAATACCAAATAAGTAAGCCAATTTTTCTTAATTCCAGCTGTCGTACATAAATCATTTAGCAAATGGCAACATCGAATCAAATGTTTTCAACTATCCCAATGTGAGTAAAACCAATAATGCGTCTATTATAACTTTAACGGATTATTCCCAACCTTCACCCCGCTCAGTCCCCATGTGAGAATAAAAAGATTCATCCGTCCCACCTTTTAGTACCGCTATCATCAATATGGTGATAGATAGACCTGTTATGAAATAGAATAAGTTCCAACCGTCACCTTGTCGCAAAAAGTGGGACGGATGAAACTTTTTATTCTAATATGTCTTTACGTGGGGACAGATCGGGGTACGGTTGGGAATAATCCATTTTAACACTGCCATACACTGCGGCTGATATAAAGCTAATAGGTGAAGATTATTAAGAGGATGTCCCACCAAATTGTAAATTTTCTGATAATCCCTTCCCTTAACTGCTAGTCACGCCATTTTTAAGCTATCTGAGCCTCTATCAGCCAGTGATGGGACATGCTCTAATTCTATTCTTACTTTAAATGTGCTCTCTTGAGGTTAACATTCAGAATTATGATGTTACCGTTCTTATTTGGATTTTATTTTTATTTGTTATTTCCAGTTGCAGGACGATGTTTTCGATCAGCCCGTTAACATGATGGCCCCCGCAAGGAACCCGCATACGAAGGTATACTGTAAATCTTTCATTATATATGTGCCAAGAATAAGCTACAAATAAAAACTATCAATGTAATGTAACATGAGGTGATCTTAAAAACATCGATTAAAGTGAAAATCGATAAGGACTTTAAATATGAGAATCGAGTTCAATTATAAAAAATCAATGTTTTTCGTTCCAATTATTTTGTAGCATCCTTAGTGTTTACTACCTCCTCTGCCAATGTGTTAACATACATCTTCAGCCATGGACATAGGCTTTCCCCAGTTCTTTTTTTATAATATAAGGTGGCAAACAAGCAAGCGGCCAACTGAATCCACCGAAATGGAAAGCGACCCCTGCCCATAAACATCCGCAATTGCAGATGTGTTTTGTGATGACATTTTCCCTTCCTATGCGTCTCCTCCACCGTCAATTCCACTTTTCCTTCCCATCCAAATCCAAATCCAAAGGGACTAAAATTAGGCCTCCGGCACCACACTCATCAGACTGCACACGGAATTGCTTCCACTTCACGCCTGTTTTCTGTGTGGTCATGGTATTGGTGGGGGCAGGCCGGCCCTGCAGTGCAAAGATGTTAAAGCGGGCTCTACCACTGTTAAAAGTTTCTTCTATAGAAAACTTCCTATTAGTCATTAAGTCGTCGGTCCCCGCGCTCCTAGGCCCCTTTCTTGGCCTTCATTCCAGTACCTTCCTCTTCAACCTGGCGTCTCTAGACTAACATATGTGTGTAAAATATCGTAAATGTGAGGCGATAACAATGATATTGTTAACAGGATGAAAAGGTCCAGGTGGAAGAGAAGACCCGCTACTCCGGTATTCCTTACGACTGGCCCTCTATGGATTCATTCTTCAGCAGCGACGACGCCTTGCACGATTACAACCGCATCAAAAGACGAGCTAAAGTAAGTACACCCTTCTTCCACTAATCTTTTAGCCGCGAAAATTAAGATAAAGCGCGAAGAAATTAAACTATCGCAGAGCTGTTTAGACTCGCTTTGATTCCTATATGGAAGTGCACACTATTCGATTTTTAGTTGTGCAACTAAACAGTTGGATTGGCTGAAAAAGAATCGACAATCGCACAAGAGTTGTGCGGAAGTTTAGTCTGAAGTGTGCACGCTCTAAAGATGCCTTTTTCGCTGTTATAAAAATATTCGTCGCTTTATTGGATAATATATCTATGTGTGCTTACATCATACTAATATTATAAATGTGAAAGTTTAGATGGATGGATGGATGGATGTTGGTTAGAGTTTGTAGCCTAAACGGCTGAACGGATTTCGATGAAATTTGGTATAGATGTAGAGGATAGTCTGGAAGAACACATAGGCACTTGTTTTTTTTAATTCCACGCGGACGGAGTCGCGGGCTTCAGTTAGTCTTACTAATATTATAAATGCGAAAGTTTAGATGGATGGATGGATGGATGTTTGTTAGAGTTTGTAGGCTTAACGGTTGAACAGATTTCGATGAAATTTGGTATAGTTGTAGAGGATAGTCGGGAAGAACACATAGGCACTTTTGTTTTTTTTTTAATTCCACGCGGACGGAGTCACGGGCGATAGCTAGTGTTTAATATTTTTATCCAATTAGTTTTCATAATATCGCGTAATTTTGTCGAGTCGTATTTTTTATCCGACTTGAAGGACCAGCTTGATTTACCCAATATTCAAGTACAAATAAGTATTAGAAAATATAAAAAGGTTAGAATTAAAGTGGAGATACAAAGTGTGAATTAGAAAATTTTCTACTCCAGGGCACGGGAAAATTTGATTCCCTTAACGGACCGAAAATAAGGGAACGGCCACACCACTACCTATATCCTGAGCCGGTTAAGGACAAAATACTGCAATTCACAACGACAACGAAAAAGCCGAGCATACTCCCGGATCAGATGAACCCGGGCGTCATCTTCCGCGTCCGGATGTCAGACGCAATACTCCGGATAAAACAACGGATGTACGAAGACCCGGAAAGACATATAGAATCTGATATTATTTATACTAATTTAATTAAAAAAGTTGTAATGGATGAAATAACTAAGTTCCATAATTTGTTATTAATGTATAAAACAGACAGGAGTATAAAGGAACATTTAGGTGAATGTGGAGGCAGGATTTATAAATTCATCAGTTATATGACTATAAAAGTGCATATATATTGTCTGTTTGACTCACTCTGGGTAGATGGGAACCCTTACGTGATAGGGGATGAGTATTCAGTGACGCCAGTGGAAGTGCCCCCTATGTTACAATGTGACGCAGCTGAATGCAATTCGATCGTTTTTGTCGACTCAATAACTGAACCCAAAGATGTCGAGGAATGATTGTTTTGTTGAGAATAAAAGTTTCAATGATTACGTTTTGTTTTTTTTTTAATTATATCCACAAAAAAGTTTAAGGGAGTAATACCAAGTAAACACTAAAATAAAAACATGCATTGTAACATCTATAGCTGTTTCTCGCGACGTTGTACGCGTGAAATAAAAAAAATAATACACAACATATAGCTTATTTTACTAAGTGATAACGTAGCTTTTTAATGGTGAAAGAATTTTTGAAATCGGTCCAGTAGTTTTTGAGTTATTTTAATACATAAAATAATGCAAAGACACAAAATTTTCCCCTTTATAACATTAGTACAGACGAATTTAAAAATAATAAAAAATATAACCTATGTTACTCGCAGATAAATTACCTTTCTAACGGTGAAGGAATTTTTAAAATCGGCCCAGTAGTTTTTGAGTTATTTTAATATATACAAAAAGACACATTTCATAATATTAATATAGATAAATATCCTTAAACATTAAATTGGACTCAAAAGTAGGCAATATCAGAGCAAAGGTAAAATGTGGTGACCCCGGGCAATGGACAAAAAGTCAGTGCCGGATTAAGCGTGGGGCCTGTAGCAAATTTTGTCGAAGGCCCCTTGCTTTGCTTTAAGGTTTTCAAGTTTAATCTATACTATTATAATAAAACGTAAACACACACTTCTTTGTTGCCTAAAATGTCAGCAATTACAGCATATTTTTGAATAATTATTTTTTTACACTTACGTCAAGCCCTACACTTACGTCACGCTTAAGGCTATATATTTTCACGCCATTAAACTTAGGGGATAAATATTTTGGATATCAACCCTAATGTGGGAAAGAGACCATAAGTTGCTGCCAACATCAAGGAAGCAAGGTTGCCAAGTTTTGTTATGTCATGTCATTTTGACATTTGCAATTGACAATTTGAGACATGTAAACAATAAAATAATTTTATGCGAATGAAATCGCACGGGAACAACTAGTATTAAATAAAACAATTTTTTTTATTAGTTACTATGGGCCCGTAGCATTTGCTACTCTTGTTATGTGGCTAATCCGACACTGCAGAAAGTCACTACTGGTCTGAGAATTAGTTTCACGTAATAATTTTGAACACAACATAGGCATGACAAAAAGGCGGGTCTCATTTAAATCTCGCTCAAGGTACTAGTGGCAATAAAACCTGACAGTCCCAGAATGTATATGTAAAAGATTTTTTATCATATAAGGTGGCAAACGAGCAAGCGACCACTTGAATCCGCCAAAATGGCGAGGCGACCGCTGCCCATAGACCTCAGCAATTGCAGATGCGTTGCCTACCCTTAATCGACGAAGGAGGATGCTATAAAGACGATATTTCCCCTTCCTATGCGTCTCCTCCGCGGTCAAATCCACTTTCCATGTGTCCATGAAAAGGGACTAAAGTTGGGCCTCCCTCTTCCTAGTCAATTAAAAATTGCTTAACTTTCAGAAGCGACGTAATCGGGTTAATAATCGACGTCACAGCCGTCCACGCACTACAACAACCTCGGAAGCAAATGAGGTGGTAAGTATTGAAAAAGCAATATCTAACAACGGATATTATGCTTTCAATGTTAATTGTAATTAAAATAAATGTACAATCAAGGAAACTGGCGGTGTTCCACTTTAAAAGTTACAATCGTTTGAACATTTTGAAACGAGACGCGGAAGAATTCAATACAATGCTTGTCTGTACGAAAAAAGTCGTGTAGCAACGACTAGTTTGTTCTTATTATCCCTTCCACTTCTGCTATCTAATTAGTTATTTGTAGGAAGCGGAGTTTGGCTTGTTGCAATGAACAAGGCAATTTGACCTAAAGTGGAACACCGCAGATTGTCTTCACTGTACATGAATTTTCAATATCACATTGGTACAGCGAGATTCAAACCCAGGACCTGTAGATTACAAGTCAAATGCCACCGACTACATCTTGCTCGTAGGTAAAAAATAGTACGACTACAGAAGTGCCCGTAGCACGTCGAGCTGATCTTTGGGACCTCCATCAGAAGAGATCGAAACGCAAACGCTACAAGAATAAAAAGGACAGATTGAACTATGAAACCTACGAACCCTCTGTCAAGGTGAGTAAAATGTTTTGTTTTTAAATTCATTTTTAATTAACACAGCAACTTTTACTATTAAACCGAGGTTCTACTTTTATGTCCAGGATTGGGAGTCAACATTCGTGGAGATGCCCAAAGATCTTTACCAGGCTCATCTCAGACCTGGCGTTATATTTAGAATACATATGGCTGAAGCTATACTTAAAATGCAGTACAGAAAGTAAGAAAACACAATCATTAAATTCCACTCTGAAATGTAGAGTGGGCATAGTTGACTCTTCACTTGAGACATTTTTCACATAATCTAAACGACGCACGCTATCTATTAATATGCGCTCGGTCACCTCAAGCCAGGTGCATCTGTAAATGCCTCTTCAAGGCAAATAGTGGCAACTGAGTCACAGAAAAAGTCAATATAATTGATTGCGAATAGGTGTCATTGAATTTTATATGATTTACTAGCTTTCGCCCGCGACTCCGTTGGCGTAGAATTTTAAAAAAACAAAAGTGGGTAGCCTATATGTTCTTCCAGACTACCTTCTACGTCTATGCCAAATTTCATCGAGATCCGTTCAGCCGTTTAGGCTACAAACTCTAACAAACATCCATCCATCTAAACTTTCACATTTATAACATTAGTAAAATTTTAGACGCTTTTTAGTTTATTTAACAAAAGATGGAGCTTATTATAATTTTGTAAAATGTTTTATAACATGTCAATACACAAGGTACTTGACAACATAATACCTTTCAGAGAAAGTACCTGGTAAAAAATCACTGCCTCGTCTATATTTATTATATGTCTTTAACATTTAAACGAATTTCATCAGTTACGGTGAAGACAAGGACGAATCAGTGATAGAGGCTGACGTGGAATACCTTCGGTTGACGAGAAAGGTCATCAACGATGAGATAACCAAGTTTGAGGACCTGAAGTGGTTGATTGGCTGGTTCAGCAACCGTAGCGATTTAGTACAAGAGCACATGTGTAATACAAGATATTATACTGTCGGTGAGAAAATGATTTTTGTTTACTCTAGATGAAGACACAGAATATAGTTTAAACTCTATATTTTTTTTATAATACAAGTTGGCAAGCGGCCACCTGAATCCACCGAAATGGAAAGCGACCGCTGCACATAAACATCCGCAATTGCAGATGCGTTGCCTACCCTTCATTGATGGAGACGCACATAAACAGGACATTTCCCCTTCCTATGCGTCTCCACCGTCAAATCCACTTTCCCTTCCCATCCTTTCCTCTTAAGAAAGGGTGGAAAGGGACTAAAATTAGGCCTCCGGCACCACACTCATCAGACGAAACGCGGAATTTCCACTTCACGCCTGTTTTCTGTGTGGTCGTGGTATTGCACCGGGCGAGCCGGCCCTACAGTGCGAAGATGTTAAAGCGGACTCTACCACTGTTATACATATTGTTATATATAACGACGCTGAGGGGACTGTCGATGTTATGGCGTTATAAAAAGTTGTCGTTAAATGCAGATAAAATAAATCAGGATTAAAAAAAGAAAAGTTTATTTCAAAATAGTGTTAGCAGTAATCTAGTAGTTACGTATATAAAAAGTCTTATTTGAACGCAATTGCGTAGAGTGTTATTTTTGTCTGACGTCTTTTGCTGCACCAGTAATTATTTTGTACTTTTTACTTATTTTATTCATATCTTGCAATACTGAGCCATCTTGGTAATAAAGGACAAAAGAACGTACAGCTACAGCTTCGCAGTTTTGACTAATTTAAAAATTAAAAGGTACTTTTCATAACTCAATTGTGGTTTAGATGCTATGTAGAGTGTATTGTCGTATGGAAGACAAGCTAAATCAACCAAAGCCAACTGATTTCGACGCTTTGGGGAGTTTGTCGTTAAATCGAGGGACGTTACGTGGAATTTACATTATAGTTGCTTTATTTCTTGACATGGGGCAAACTCCATTACCAGCAGCAATTTACAAATTGAACCTCTAAAGGTCTTACAGATTTTAAAAGGGTTCCAAGCTTTTTATAAAGAGATTTTATTCCTGTGGCAAATTATTGAATAATTGGGATACATGGTCGGTGCCTACACCGAAAGTTCCCACGTGAGTTTTAGCCGTGTTATAATGTCTCACGAAAGTTTTTATAAGTTAATTGGGATACATATTTCTAATAAGAAATAATTAATCAACACACTATTTTTTTCTTTCAAATATGACCTCTAAGTGTCTAAATAATAAAGGGGGTGGTAAAATTGTTGCGAACTATTATACTCCACGTGAACGCAGGCGGAAACAGCTAGCTTATCTTATGATGAAACTGTGTTCGTTGATTATTTCTTCACAGGCATCCCGCCAACAATGTTTACCCACCCGGAGGAATACATGAAAAGGGCGTGTTTATTTGACAATGTTTACCTGGACCACATCCCTTACGTGGTGGGGGAGGATGGCTCGCTGATGGCGGCGGTCGCACCCCCTGTGCTGCACTGCGACGCAGCGACATGTACTTCTGTACCCTTCATCGATAGGTAACGTCTAATACTTTGGTTAAGACTAGCTTTACTATTTTTTTAGAAAATAAGGTGGCACGAGCAAGCGGCCTCCTGAAAAAAGGTGGAAAGGGAAAGGGACTAAAATTAGGCCTCCGGCACCACACTCATCAGACAAAACGCGGAATTGCTTCCACTTCACGCCTGTTTTCTGTATAGTCGTGGTATTACACCGGGCGAGTCGGACCATCCGTGCGAAGATGTTAAAGCGGACTCTACCACTGTAAATTTGTCCCTGAGAAAAAGAAATAGCAATAAATCTATCCTGTCACTTGCAATGATAACTTTCTAATAGTGAAAGAATTTTTGAAATCCTGTAGTTTTTGAATTTATTTTTAACATACAAAATGGAATCTTCATTGAAATGGATGGATATATGTTTTTACTACGTACCAAAATGAGTCTCGATTAAATTTGACAAATAAAGCAATCTGCAAGACGACATACTAAGTTTCCCTTAATTTATGTACTATCAATGTTATCAAGAGCTTATTTCAGTATAGTTTAGATGAGTTTTTTTGGCAAATTAGTTATAAAAATATTCACGCGGCTAATCGGTATTTAATTTAATTCCCCAGCATGATGTTCGAGGAAAAACTGGCGCGTAGTAACGTGCGTACGGTGACGCGTTGCCAGGCGAGTTGCCGCGCGCATTGTCGTAACGACGCGGACTGCCTCAAGCGCTGCAGCGATAGATGTTTTAGAGCTGACTAGACGCAAGCAAACTTACAGCGCTGCAGCGAATACTGCTGCAATATTCTATTCTTGAATACAGATGATTAAATATTCTGTCTTTTTTATATTCGAAGAACCAAACTTTTATAGTCTGTAATTTAAAAATTATTATATATACGGATGGAAAATAGGCGTTTACTGAGAACAACAAATCTTTTAAACGCAATAACTTATTATTTCTAAATCTTTTTACATGTTCTCAGCTAAGATTAGGTTATAAATACGTTCCCATTGTGCATTTCGAAAATGAGAGTTAAAAATAAAACAAAAACGGTTTAATAAATAATATTTATTCTGATAACAATAAATATATGTAAAAATATATAATATACAACATTTTTATTAATTACCTTATATGTACAATTTTATCTATATACCAATATACAAAATGTGTTAAGCGCCTGCTGGAAAACTATGGCATCCCTAACTCTGGTTACAGCTGGTTCAACTTGTGTACTTTCGTCTTGTCATGTAAAGTCAGCTACTTAAATATGTATACAATTACAAAACAATAACCAAAGTTTTTCATTTTGTAAATCTATCTATAATATGATAAACCGTAAACACACTTCATTATTATGTAAAACTAACTGTTCCCGTGCGGCTATCCGCATAAAATTATGAAAATTTTATTTAATTGTTTACATCTGTCAAATTATCAATAGCAAATGTCAAAATGACATGACATGACAAACCTTAGCAATTTTTCTTTAATGTTGGCAGCAACTGATGGTCTCTTTCCCACAGTAGGGTTTTTCTCCATAACATTTACTCCCTAAGTTTAATAGCGTGAAAATATATAGCCTAAAGCATGACGTAAGTGTAGGGCTTTTTATTAAAAAAAGAATGATTCAAAAACATGCTGTAATTGCTGACATGTTAGGCAACAAAGAAGTGAGTGTTTACGCTTTATTATAATAGTATAGAGTATAGATTTCAGCAATCACAGCACATTTTTTTAATTGTTTTTATTCAAAACTTACGACACGCTATAGGCTATTTACTCCACACATTCGGACGGAGTCGCGGGCGAGCTAGTTTGAGACCACATATTGACATGTGGTCGTCTGTCAACAGCTTTAGTGATATAAAAAATGTCTCAAATGAAGTGTCAACTATCCCTATTCTTTACATTTGAATCACTTTGGTTAGAGTATAATTTATGTAACTGACTCGCGAGATCTTTTATAAAGCCATCACGTTAGTATGGCTCCCAGTGCCTACCTGTCTGTTGGTCTTCTGCCTGCCGGGGCGCTGCGGGGGTACAACCACCCCATGCTGTCGTTGCAGATGTTTCTTCCAATAACAACGTCGCGAGAAACACGCGTGACATATATCACATTCAAACCTAAATACGTATATTTGTTACCCTTTTTACTATATATATAGTACATCTATTGTATGTTTCAAATACACGAACAATAAAAAAAAAACAACATAACCGTTAGGTAAAATAATTTTCACAATAATTCATACTAATATTATAAATGCGAAAGTTTAGATGGATGGATGTTTGTTAGAGTTTGTAGCCTAAACTGAACGGATCTCGATGATTGTCATAGTTGTAGAGGATAGCCTGGAAGAACACATAGGCTACTCACTTTATTCTTTTCAACCACACGGACGGAATCGCGGACGAAAACTAGGATTACCATAAGTTAGATTATATTAAATGATAGTGGTAGAACCCGCTTTAACATCTTCGCACTGCAGGTTCGGCTCGTCTCCAGCAATACCACGACCACACAGAAGACAGACGTAAATGGAAGCAATTCCGCGTACACTCTGTGCAGGAGGCCCAACTTCAATCCCTTTTCCTTCCCCTTTATCTTATACGAAAAGAATGGAAAGGGAAAGTGGATTTCACAGGAGACGCATATGAAGGGGATACATTTGCGTAAGTTCACGCCTGTCTTCTGTGTAATAGTATTGCTGGCGAGCCGATCCTACAGTGCGATGTTAAAGCGGGCTCTACCACTTGTTAATAGCATGTGTTGATAATATTCCGACAACCCAACCTATAAAGTTCCATCCATCTCTTTTCATCCATCAGTTAGAAAGGGATAGCAACTCACCGTTTGATATCATTATGCGAATCGATATGACGATTGAGTTTTGTACGGTCATAGAATGCTCTGTCGCAGAGATGACAGGCGTGACGTCGCTCGCGGGTGTGACAGCGCCGAATATGGCTAGTGAGGTTAGACGAAGCATGGTAGGAAGCGGTACAATGCTTGCATTGGTAGAGTTTCACACCTACACAATAATACCAAATTACCTAAAGAAAAGAGTTAGTCGATTTCCCTTTCCACCCTTTTCTCAACGAAAAGGATGGGAAGGAAAAGTGAATTTGACGGTGGAGACGCATAGTAAGGGGAAATGTCCTCTTTATGTGCGTCTCCTCCGTCAATGAAGGGTAGGCAACGCTGCTAATGTGCAGCGGTCGCTTTCCATTTCAGTGGATTCAGGTAGCCGCTTGCTCGTTTGCCAACTTATGTTATTAAAAAAAAAACTTTCACCTAAGGAATAAAACTACAAAGTATTTAAAAAACTACATTAATTAAAGAGTTTATTATTGAAAAATTGGAAAATTGTTTTTCAAAACCTTTCGAATAATTTAGACAGTTTTCGTAACATCCGTATAACTCACATTATTGCCTTTAATTTACCATTAATAATAAAATATTGACAATTGAAAAGAATTGACAGCAAGAAAAGCGATTATCCAGACAGCAACCGACTTTTACAAAAAACTATATACAGCCGAACAAAATTTCACGACGTTAGATACTTTAGATCCAAACCTGAATGATGACAGCACAGACGAAACGCCAGAGTTTCTTGAAGCGGAAGTTGTAAGAGCGGTCAACAGTCAAAAGATAAATAGAACTCCCGGTCCAGATCAACTTACAAACGAAATGATTATAGACTCTGAAAACCTAAAGAAAGTCACAAAAATATTTAACCTTACGAGTATATTAAACACAGAATGTATACCGTCACAATGTACAAAAAGCACAATTATTTTACTTCACAAAAAAGGAGACAGGAACCTAATCGAAAACTATAGACCTATTAGTCTTATGTCAAACATTTACAAAATTTTCTCTAAAATGATAACAGAATAACAACACTAATCGACGAACAACAACCAATAGAACAAGCTGGCTTCAGAACAGGGTTTTCGACAACGGACCATATGCATGTTATAAAACAACTAATCGAAAAATGCCAAGAATACAACAAAGCATTATATATCGCCTTTGTTGACTATAGTAAAGCCTTTGATTCTATAGCGCATAAATCACTTTGGAAAGCCCTATTACAACAAGGAGTACCAAAAAAATACATATTTATTCCAATTGCACAGCCCAAATAAAACTAGATTCAACTAGCGAACCGTTCCCTATATCTAGAAGTGTCAGACAAGGCGACCCGCTGTCTCCGAAACTTTTCTCTGCAATACTCGAAAGTGTATTTCAGCGTCTCGAATGGGATAACTTTGGTGTAAATATAAGTAGACAACTTAACCATTTAAGATTCGCAGACGACCTTGTTCTAAGTGATAGCCCTATTTCTCTCCAACATGTGTTACAACAGCTAGCAGATGAAAGCAGACTAGTCGGTCTTACTATGAATAAAACAAAAACAAAGGTGATGACAAACAGGGAAGAAAAAGTCATAACGAAGATATAGAATATGTTACCAACTATGTATACCTAAGGCAGCTAATATCGTTTAAAGACCAATTAGACCTGGAAATCGACCGAAGAATAGCTAGCGCCTGGAAAAGGTTTTGGTCCCTTAAGGAGATATTTAAAAGCAGACACTTCCCTATGACGGCCAAGAAAAAGGTTTTTAATTCATGTATCTTGCCATGCCTCACATATGGATCCCAAACTTGGTCGCTAAGAAACAACTTTACAAACAGATCCTGCCAAAGAGCTTTTGAAACAAGTATGTTGGGTGTAAAACTAAAAGACCGAAGAAGAACAGAAGATATCAGACAGATAACCAAGGAAGACCTATTAAGAAAGATAAGACAGCTAAAATGGAGATGGACGGGACAAATGACCAGAGACAGCAAAATAAAATGGACAAAATTGATAACGGAATGGCAACCATGCGACGACAAACGGAAAAGAGGCAGGCAATGTAAAAGGTGGGTGGACGACATAAAAAACACTGGAGGGTTATTTTGGACAAGGAAAGCGCATAATAGCCAAGAATGGGAGGAGTTGGAAGAGGCCTATGTGTCACAGGACACGCCGACTACTAGTCTAGGATAAAAGTAAAATTAAAAAAAGAAAAAAAAATGTTAAGTTTCGGAAATAAAGGCTTAATAATAATACCTGTATGTATGCGGAGATGTTTGATGAGATCGTGCTTGTGCGGGGTGCGGTAGTCGCAGGAGTCGCAGGCGTATTGCGGCGGCAGGTGAGACCGCACGTGGGAGTAATGAGACGCACGATGGACAAACACTTTGCCACATATCTGACAAAAACCATCCTCCTTATCCTACTCCCGTAGCGTGCAAGGTTTTCCTCCACATAACTCTATCATGCATCATCTCAGTCACTCCCTTCTTTCATGTCACCTTTAACCCAATCCATCTCTTTATAGTTCTACCTCTACCAGTGTTGAGCGACCAGTCCGTAAAAATGTACCATTTATAATACACTAGCTTTCAGACTACAGTTCAAAAAAAAAAGTTAGTAGCCTATTTGTGCTTCCGAACTATCCTCTACGTGTATGCCAAGTTTCATCGAGATCCGTTCAGCCATTTAGGCTACAAACTCTAACAAACATCCATCCATCCATCTAAACTTTCGCATTTATAATATTAGTAAGAAGTAATAGAACCTCGATAAGTTAAATTCCAAGGGAAACACAAGATATTTTAAGTTATAGAGGTTTTAAGTTATCAAGGGTCTATGTTGAAGAGGTTTGGGGCTCTGATGAGAAGGGAACATATTATTTTTTTGAAGTTATAGAGGTTTTCAAGTTACCGAAGTTTGAGTTATCGTGGTTCTACTGTAGTATAAGGTATTCACAAAAATAGAGGAGTAATTTAGGATTCCCCTCCCTAAGCAACCCCTACGACAATCACAACCATTCTTTCCTTACAGGCGTGGGAAGGAAACACTAAAATTAGGACTATTTTTCACATATCTTACTAATATTATAAATGCAATGGTTTTTTGTTACTTTGTAACCTAAACTGCTAAATGGACTTTGATAAAACTTGTCATAATTGTATATTATAGTCTGGAACACAGGCTAATCTCTTTTGTTTGTTGACACACGGACGGAGTCCCGTGCGAAATTTAGTATAATAATAATTTAACACTGGTAGAGCCCGCTTTAACATCTTCGCACTGCAGGGCCGGCCTGCCCCTACCAATACCATGACCACACAGAAAACAGGCGTGAAGTGGAAGCAATTCCCTGTGCAGTCTGATGAGTGTGGTGCCGGAGGCCTAATTTTAGTCCCTTTCTCTTTCCACCCTTTTCTTAAGGGGAAAGGAAAAGAGGATTTGATGGTGGAGGAGATGTATAGTAAGGGGAAATGTCCTCTTATGTGGGTCTCCTCCGTCAATGAAGGGCAACGCTGCAATTGCGGATGTTTATGTGCAGCGGTCGCTTTCCATTTTAGTGGGTTCAGGTGGACGCTTGCTCTTTTGCCAACTTGTATAATAAAAAAAAAATTACCTCACAGATAAAACTTTCTCCTTTATGTATCTCCTTCTTATGTTTATCAGACTCTTCTTTATCCATAAACTTAAGTCCGCACGGCTCACAGAATAGTTTTCTATACTTAAATTTTGACAATCGTGTTTGACCTGTCTTTTTATACGGACCTCGTTTCTTCCTCACTTTTGTTACCTCATTTTCTGTTATACTGAAAAATTAACTTTTTTAAATATGAATAAATTAAATGCATGCGGCTCAAGTAAGTACTTGACTTTTAAACTACAAGTGGGTTAAAATCTCGCCATGTACTGATGTGATTTTCGATTCTTATGTACATAATTTACCCGACTTTTGGTGATGGAAAACATACTGATGTCTGCTCATAAATAAGAAATTCAAAGATATGTGTGAAGTCAAACATTGGACTAGCATTGACTAACCTGATAGACAATGCATATGCTAATGTTGTCTATGGGCGGAGGTTGCTTCACTATTTTGGTAAATTATGGTGGTCACTAGTATTTTGCCACCTCATTGCATGTTAATCTATACTATTATAAAGAGGAAAGAATTGCATTTTTGTATGTATTGAAATATCTTAATAACTTTCAAAAATTCATTCACCATTACAAAACTCGCCTCCGTCCGCGTGTTATTAAAAAAAAAACAAAACCAAGTAGCCTATGTGTTCTTCCAAACTATCCTCTACATCTATGTCAAATTTCAGTGAGATCGGTTCAGCAGTTTAGGCTACAAACTCTAACAATCATCCATCCATACATCCATCTAAACTTTCACATTAATAATATTAGCATGATGTCATGTTTTTATTGTTTTTTAAATTTACATGGATGAAATCACAAGCAACTAGGTAATAGATAATTTTAAAAATACGTAGAGTGAGGAAGAACAAATAGGTGGCCTTCAGGGTCAAGCTGTAGGCTACATCAGCTGAACCTTCTCCTTTTGGCACAGAACTGATTATTTAGTTTTGTTGCTATATTTTTGTGTTATGTTTTTGTAATTTTCTTTAAACATTGTTTTATTTTATACTAGCTGTTGCCCGCGACTTCGTCCACGTGGTATTAAAGCATACGAACTATATAAATAACAAAAAGCTACATATCCCTCGGGAACCGGACATTTCTCGGGGATGAACCTTATCCCATGTGTACTTCAGACTTTGTTTTATATCTGTGCCAAATTTCAATAAGATATGTTGAACCGGTGCATAGTGCTCAAGTAAACATTAAAAAACCAAATTAATGAATCCCACGGGAACCGTAACTATTCTAGGGATTAAAAATTAATCTATGTGTTCTTTCCCAACTATGCTCTAAACCTGTGCCAAATTTCATGGAGATGCTATCAGCCGTTTAGGCTACAAATGCTAACAAACATCCATCCATCTAAACTTTCGTATTTATAATATTTATATGACATGATATATAACTAATATAAGCCAGTATTAGACTAAGTAGATAATTTACCTTTCAATTTTCATTAACTTAATTCTTGTACTCCGTCTATTATCTACAGGTTCCACTTTAATGTGAACATCCACTTCAGATTCTTCCTCTTTCAAATCAAAATCATTTCCCACACCCTCATCGGTATTTCCACTCTCTTCTGTTACATCATATTTTATATCAATGTTAATATTTTTTAATGTCCTTTCAGTGAGTAGACATTGTGTTTTAAAATTGTATGCTATTGACAAATTGTTAAAACACACATCACATATTTGAGATGGCAACCCGTCATCTTTTGTTATCTGGAATTGCATAAACACAATTTATTAATAAATAGATAAATAAAACATCTTTGTTGTTATAAAAAAATAGAATACAGTTTCTTATGCACTAATGTTTATTTGAATTGACAACAATAGGCTGGTTTAGCGTAATTAATCTAACTAATATTGCACATGCGAAAGTTTAGATGGATGGATGTTTGTAAGAGTTTGTAGTCTAAACAGCTGAACAGATCTATATGAAATTTGTATTAGATGTAGAGGTTCCGATGCTCGCTTCTTCGAAGCTCTGAGTTAGTCCACATTAAATGAATTTTGGCTCGGTTTAGGCTTGGCTCGTCTAGCAAATACCCACCTTTTAGACATTGAGATTTTCACGTCAGGTTTGTGTACTGAAAATCAGTAACAACAAATAAACAAATACCTGTATTCCCGTGCAAAAAAATATTTTGTCAGCTATATCTGAAGTAAATATATCAGATAGATCTGCCTTTTCATCCATACACACTCTGCATGAATCCATAACTTTGTTTTGTTGTAACTAATGAATCACAAGTTATTCAAAATTTAATTTACATGTTGTACAAAATCCGTAAATGTTTCATAATGTATGAATAAAATATACACTAGTTTAACGATAAAAAAAACATTTATGACTTATCCATAATCTAATATGAATATTTGACATATTTTGGTTCAATATTGTGACAGCTATTTCAAGTTTTTTTAGTTATTATTTTAGTGTTGCCCGAAAGGAATGTTTTAATTTCTTTACGTCAGTGTTTCGGTTTTCAAATATTTTTCGAGTTGATAATGTATTTTATGGTAATATGTTTCCTGGACATTCTTACATATATTTTTCGATGTGTAAGTTCCACAATATGCGACCGTAAACCGCAAGACAAGAAAATGTTTAATGTCATAATCCAAAATCCATTGTTCATTAAGACAGAATTCAATTCAAGGGTACGCAGGCATGCTGAATCCATGCATTAAGATTAAGTTTTTCCTACCCCTCTGGGTTGGGGGCGTTATAGGTAGTTATTGTTTAAATATCTGTGGTTGAGTTCAAGTTTTCAATGTTGCCATTGATATAAAAACGTGAAGCATATTTAATTAAAGTTAGATTCAAATGTATTTATAACACTATAAAAATAAACTTATGTGAATACGAGGGGTCACGAAATCATAAAATTACGTAAAATATCATTTATTTATCAAATAAGTAAAGTAATAATTCTAAAATTATTTTCAGTCAAACTCATTTAAATCCAATGGAGTCATCAAATCAATAAAATATAAAACATAATTTGATAATAATTCAAACTAAACCAAAGTAACGTTTTAAGTATAAAAATATAACTTTAGTAAATATCTCACTTAGGATTTAAAAATCCTAACTTTGCTATGGAAGCATAATTGATATGCTTTTCTGTTCCTAAATGTCTGTCATAGCCTCGTTTTGAAATAAAAGAGGATTTACACAAATCACATTTATAATTTCTCGTCTCCAAATGAACCGCCTCTGTATGAAGCAATAGTCTTTGGTACGTTGCATATGTGTTCTTACATACAGGACATTTGTAGAGCATATAATTCATATGATATCTTGTATGTTGAATCATACTAATTCTATGGAAGATTGAAAACTGTTAAACGACCTTTATAGCTAGCACGCTTCTTAATTAATTCCCTCTCCTCGGTCATTTTAAAATATAACGGAAATTGGCAAAAATCTGGAAAATTACAATAATAATCTTAAAGAAAATTACACAAACAATACACAAATAAAATTAAAACATACTAATAAACTTCCATTAAACACTGTGTGGTGTCGAGTTTGTTCGTCCGTTCTTTGTTCTTGATGACGTCCTTAACTTAATCTCCGTACGAACTAATGTCTTCTTCAAGATTTTGTGATATCGGCGTAAATTATCTTCTCCGCTGATTGAAGACACTTCCAAATTTGGCTCGAAGCTGACCATGTAAATATTTCGTCGATCACTTGGAGAAAATTTAATAAAAGATTTTTGCTTAGAGAGTTGCGTGTACTCCGACAGTTACAAGATTCGAATGCCGATTAATACAATTCATTCTCCGTGACGGTGATGCTAAAATTTAATCGTTGCTGTCCAAAAAGTGGCAGGCGCTCGCGAACAGTAGTTTCAGTTTTATTTCTTTTATAAATCGCAATTAATGTTACATTATTGACTGCTCCTGCAGAGGTGAAGCCCTTCGCCTCCGCATCCGCATCTGCTTCCGTTAAAATAGCCTCCGTTACAACTCTAATATCAACCATAAAATAATCATATGAAATTGCAATTTCCTTATTAAAAATGAAGACAAACAGTAGCTAAAGTTAAAATAGAGGTAATATTAAAAAATTCTAAAAAAATTCCTAATGTCTGAATTCTTTATTTCGACAAATGTTAACTTTTATATTGATTTTATTTGATCTCAGTTGTATGAATAAATTATAAATGGCGTTAAATATTAAGGAGTAATGTTATTTAATTCGTCGTATAACGTAATGTACATAACCAGTAATAACGTCTTCGCTAATGAAAGTTTTTTTTTATCCCTGTAAACGTTACAGTAATGAAACTTGTCAGCAGAGCGAGCTTATTGGAATATTATCATGGTCATATTTGTTTAGTAAATATCATTAAATCAAACGACAATATAAGTTTAAAAAGCACAAATTTAATTCCAGGAGGAACTTTTAACACGTGAATTAGCATAAAGACAATCTCTCAATCTGTTGACAGCTGTCAAAGAGTATAGAATAAAACAAACACTATAACGTTACTGTACTATCAAAGATCAAATAATCATTACTGTTTTGATTTATGCTTTGACACTTAAACATATTTGTTCGGTACAGATCGTACTGGTTCGTCAAATTCGGTGACGAACATAATTTAAATTTCGCGCCTCGCGTTTAGTGCGGGTAAGCGCGCCTATTTTATTTTTCTCGCACGGGCAGGTAGATGAAGAAACCCTCTTCACTACGTACGACCGCGGGGCCTGCGGAGAGGGGTGCGAAAAAAGGTTGGAATCGAGCAGCCAAGCGGGACGGTCGCGAACACTTGTGCGGATTAGAGTTGCTCTTTGTATAACGCGAAGACACAACAGGTGTGTCGATTTCGGTAGCGCACGGGTCGCTAAATTCGGTTTCGCGTTCGAAATTACTGGTACATCTTCAGTCAGCATCGCTGGGCCTATAGACTTGACTGAACTAGACTTTGAGTCGATTGACACTGACTGAGACAAGGCACCTGCAGGAGGTGAGGCAATTCATCGAGCTGGTGAGTACCATTTTCCCCTTTACGTTTACAATATTATGCCCTCCGGTGCAATCGTAGTTCAAGGGTAGGTTGTGCCGCGGGACCCGAACCCCATTGTACGGCACAAATTGATGGTAGCAGAGCGGGGTTAGGTGACACGTAGTTTATAACC